TGTCATGCTCTGATCTAGTGGAAACGTCATAAATTAGGCTTACTTGATTACTTCTTATCCATTGCGCAAATAAACTACAGCGGTGTTGGTCCCGAGCTCATTGGCGCGGGAAACTGAGGGCCCAGAATATTTTATACAATGTTGCAAGGCGCTTCAGGCCGGGCCCAAGTTAATAGTTGATACAATGTTTCAAGTTTGTTGCAGACCGGCCATGCGTAGCCAATGTGATATATAGGATATTTATTTTTATCCGGATATTATCCATTTATTATCCAGTTCTGAAGACCGTAGACAGCTTCTATCCAGCCCATGATGTATAACCTAACATCTATGACAACCCGTTCCTCAGACTGTCACTGCTCCATCATGTGACCGCCACACAGACACACAAACCTGTTCCATGCTGAAGCTCCTTCACCAGAAATGAATATAAGACAATATTTGACTGCACTTGGCCAATAGGGGGCGATACCATCGTAACTAATGGGCAATTTAGAGAATGTCTAATCCAAATAGGAACAAACCGTCCCAAAGATGCTAAGAGAGTGAGGGGCAGTCAGTGGGAGTATGGGTCATACATTTCACTAACCTACATAAGTTGTTTTGACATAACATATAGCTACCATAACATAAACTATAGACAAACTACCAAAGAAGGTTCAGAGACAATGAGGACTGGAGGCTACTCTCCTCTTAATAGGTCTCAATACTTTCCTGTATGAAGTCCCAGGCCCTCTTTTCCCTTCATCCTACCTACAAAGAATCCTAGAAAGAGGTGGACTACACAGTTTTGTCTGTGGTACACAGTTGTACCACAGTCACACCATAGGACTTGAGGAAGGTCGATGGTCTTGGCACTTCCAGTGAAAGGTTAAGATAATTACCAGGCGTTTATCCAACACCAGAGTGTGTAGCCTATAGTAAACACAACGGTGTGTCCTTTCTGACCTCATCTGCCCTGCATTTTGTAAAGCGTTGTATCCCACTCTTTTCTCAAGCAAATAAAACCTCAAAGCCAGGATGCTCTTTATGCAGGCTCTGATTCACTGGCCAATTTACATGTTTAAAATCACACAATCCAAATGACAAAGGGGCAGATGAATGGAACCATAAGTCTGGTTTAATCACATCACTTGTCGAGGCATTAGTCTAAAGCCACACACCTGGCATATAAAGTGCCTATAGAAAGTATGCTCCCCCTTTCAAAATGAACACCTTTTGTTGCCTTATAGCCTGGAATTAAATGATTTTAATGCATTTCCCCCCCTCCCCCTTGCATTGATCTGCAAATCCTACCCCACAACTTCAAAGTGATGTTATTATTTATTTATTTTATAAATAAAAACTGAAATAGCTTGTGTCCACCCCCCTTGCAATAACAATCCTAAATTAGCTCAGGTGTAACCAGTCACCTTCAAAATCCCACGGCAAGTTAATTGGGCTCCACCTATGTTAAATTGTGGTGATTCACATGATTTCAGGATAAATTCAGCAGTTCCTGTAGGTTACCTATGCTGGGTAGTGAATTGCAAAGCAAACACTCAACCATGAGCAACAAGCAGCTTTCAAAAGAACTCCGGGACAAAGTTGTGGAAAGGCACAGATCAGAGGATGGGTATAAAAAGATTTCAAAAGGCCTTGAATTAAGAAGTGGAAGGTGTATGGCACCACCAAGACCCTGTCGTCCGTCAAAACTGGATGACCGAGCAAGTAGGAGACTGATCAGAGAGGCTACCAAGAGTCCAATGGCAACTTTGAAAGAGCGACAGCCTTTTATGGCCAAGACTGGTCAAAATGTGCATGTGACAATATCCCAAGCACTCCACAAATCTGGCATGTATTGTAAGGTGGAAAGAAGGAAGCCATTACTCAAGAAAGCCCACCTTGAATCCAGTTTGAAGTATGCAAAACAAAACAAAAAAAACACTGGAGCTTCTGTAGCCATTTGTCAAAAGGTTGTGTGGTCTGACGAAACTAAAATGGAACTTTTTGGCCTAAATGCAAAGCGTTATATTTGGCGCAAACCCAACACATCACCCAAAGAACCCAATCCCTACTGTGAAGCATGGTGGTGGCAGCATCATGATATGGGGATGTTTCTCATTGTCTCATCAGGATAGAAGGGAAAATGAATGGAGCAATGTACAGAAAGTTCCTTGAGGAAAACCTGCTGCCCTCTGCAAGAAAGCTGAAACTGGGACAGAAGTTCACCTTCCAGCATGACAACGACCCGAAGCGCACAGCCAAAGCTACAGTGGAGTAGCTAAGGAATAAAATGGTAAATGTCCTTGAGTAGCCCAGTCAGAGCCCCAACCTAAATCCAATCGAAAATGTGTGGCATGACTTGAAGATTGCTGTCCATTAAAGCTCCCCAAGGAACTTGACAGAGCTTGAACAGTTTTGTAAAGAAGAATGGTCAAATATTGCCACATCTAGGTGTGCAAAGGTAGTAGAGACCTATCCCAACAGCTGTAATTGCTGCCAAAGGTGCATCCACCAATTATTAACTCAGTGGGGTGGAGACTTATCCAATTACGATATTTCAGTTTTGTATATAAAAATAATAATTTATTCCACACACCAAGAAAAATCCCTTTAAAAGTGTTAGAGTATGGTGTGTAGATAAGTGGGAAAAATCATTTTTTAAATGCATGAAACTGAGGCTGACAAAATTTGAAAAAAGGTCACATTAACAGTCAGATAGTCTCCACAGTGTGCTATTGTCAGATGAGGGTGGGGACTTACAGGTCAGCTGCAGTGTGGTTGTGCTGTAGGGGCTGGTTGAGGGTGGCAGGGGGCTCAGCCTGCTCCACTGGACCCTCCTCACGGGTCCGTTTCAGCAGCTCAAACAGCGGAGAGTCCTGGGGAGAAACACACATGGAACAGCATTCATTAGACAGGCACTACAGCATTTCACAGAGGCACTACGAACACAACACCAAGTAATACCAATTTCATGGAACTTGATCCTAAAGCTCATAATGTAATAATCAACACAGTGTACATTACACTATGTGCTAAAACGTTATTACATTATACCTTCAGCATATCTATTACATTATTGGCAATCTATTACATTATCAGCATTTATTACATTATAAATGAAAAGGTTATTACATTAAATCAGCAGCTATTACATTATTGGCATTTTATAACATTATCAGTTGCTACAGGGTTAACAACCCCTGTCCTCTGTTGCCACTGGTGATATTGGGTTTGACCTTTGGAACATGGACACTCCCTATGCCTCTTTGTATCAGATCTTATCAGACACACGTAATATTCAATTAAATCATATTCAATATTAATACCTGTACAAAAGGGTGTGTGTTTATGAAAGTAGGCCTACATAGTTATTTACGTTAAGACTTCACCAGGAACTTTATATCCAACACTTTCAGTAGTTCCCCGTGCTATATGCAATATAAAAGGGAGACAAACTTCCTGTGGCTGTTTGTCAAGCAGCATTTTGAGTCAAGATCAAAGGTATGACATTTATTGAACACTCACGTGCATGCCCACACATGCACACAAATAGAAGCATACAGCACGGCTCTGTATCGGAGTCAGTGAAAACCGCACCTAGTCCCCTGCCTCATCTCGTTAGTCTGCACGCTCAGGCTTGCCATCATTGGAACCTTGCCCTTCCTGCCGTTCTGAGGCAGCTTCTTTGCTGACGCCACTGACTCGTAAACAGCTCAAGAAAGTACACTGGGCTCTGGGGTTGACAGGAGAGTATGACTTAACTGTTTCCTTTCGGCAAGCAGAGCAGAGCCAACTGAAAACGTCCACTGTTTGGGGGTAGGATAGCTCTTAGATATCAAAACAAAACCCTACTTACATTTCATTGCATGATATAAATGTAATATTTTCATGAGATCCTGACAGAATGCTAAGGGCACAAAAAACAAGCTACACACCATATCTAGAGTTACTTCAGCCTGGGGATATAAAGGGTTAAAGCTTACATTTTCAAAACAACGTCAAGCTGAGAGAGCGAGAGAAAGTGAGAGAGAGAAAGTGAGCGAGAAAGAAAGAGCGAAACTGTAGGTGAGGGGGCCTACACAGCTAAAGCAGTCAGATGTGGGAGGGTCTTGGAGGCGTGGTGGCCTACTCCTCCCAGTGTGTAAGCAAGCAGTTGGTTAAGATTCAGTCTAAAGGTAGAGCCTCAGAACAGAAGACTGACTCCACTGAACTTAAGGCTGCATCACTGGTGGACAGGAAGGCTGCAGCAGAGCCCCTGTCAGTCTCCAAGTGTAGGGTCAGTAGGAGCACCATGTCCCCAGGGGCTGCAACAGGAAGAGGGCTGCCAGAGGCAAAGCAGGAGGCCGGGGGAGAGGGAGGGACCCAGAGGGGCAGCAGAGAGCCTCTCAGCTCACAGACCCAAGGAGAGGCACATGACTCCCCCCTCTTTCACTGGAGCAAGAAACACCACTGACTCTGGAGCGAGAGAAGAAACTCTCCAGACTCAGAGAAGCCAACCTCAAGGCTGTTCACAACAGAGGACCACAGGTCCATAGAACATAAAAACAGAACTGGGATCTTACAATTATGCAATATCTGGATACATCTTACTCCTGCCAATGGATTAACTGAGAGGACTGTTATCTTTTTGGATACAAGCACAGGTATTGACGGAGTTACTTGCTGTTCTTTTTAAAACCCTGGGCTTTCTGGAAAAACAAGTTGACTGTGGTATTTGCATGAGAACACATTCTTATGCTTAGAAACCATTGGATGGAATGAAAGTGATGGTAGGGGGTATATTTTTCCAGCTAGTGTACTTTTATGCTGGGGGATGAGGCTAACGCTTAACTGGAAAGTACATAGATAACATCAACTGATGTGTACCCCTGAAAGTAAGGAAACTTATTTTGTCCTCCATTCTTTGGAATTATCTTGTACAATTGATCGCTGCTTTCCACAGAAACTTTCCCATTGTTGTATTGACATTCATCAACACTCCCATCCTCCAAACCCTACAACACTCCTCCCTAAATATGTATAACAGCACTCTAGAGACTGATGGCATCAGTTATCTGGGCTTGAGCCAAAGCAACTTGAGCTGCATTAAGAGTGATGGCTTCAAGTACACCATGTACACCTCAGTCTTCAGCCTGGTCTTCATAGTTGGGCTGCTCTTCAACATGGTCGCAGTCTACATCTTTGCCTGCACGCTGAAGCTGCGCAACGAGACCACGACCTACATGATGAACCTGGTGGTGTCCGACCTGCTCTTCGTCCTCACCCTGCCCTTCAGGATCTTCTACTTCATCAACCGAGACTGGCCGTTCGGCAGGGTGCTCTGCCAGCTCTCAGTCTCCCTCTTCTACACCAACATGTACAGCAGCATCCTCTTCCTCACCTGCATCAGCGTGGACCGCTTCCTGGCCATCGTCCACCCATTCCGATCGCAGGCGCTGCGGACGAAACGGAACGCCAAGCTGGCCTGCTGTGCCGTGTGGGTGTTGGTGCTGTCTGGCAGCCTGCCGACGGGCTTCCTCCTTGACACCACCTCGCTCAGGAACGAAAACTCCAACTCCTCCGTCAACTACTGCTTCGAGAACTTCTCCAACAAGCAGTGGCAGTCCAGTCTGTCCAAGGTGGTTGTGTTTATTGAGACAGTGGGATTCCTGATTCCGTTGTTACTCAACGTCTTCTGCTCTGTCTCGGTCCTCCAAACGCTGCGCCAGCCCCAGGCCATCAACCGGGGCGGCCAACTCAACAAGACCAAGATCCTGAGGATGATCGTGGTTCATCTCCTCATCTTCTGCTTCTGCTTCATCCCTTATAACGTCAACCTGGTGTTCTACGCCCTGGTCCGCACCAAGCTCCTGAAAGGCTGCATTGTGGAGTCGGTGGTGAGGACCATCTACCCTATCACCCTCTGCATTGCGGTCACCAACTGCTGTTTCGACCCAGTCATCTACTACTTCACCTCCGAGACCATCCAGAACTCCATCAAACGGAAGTCGATGGCAATTCGCAACAACAATAAGATGTGCGTGGGGCTTCAGACAGATACGCTGAAGAGCCAGAGCACCATGCAGAACAACCTGACGACTCAGAGAGAAAAAGTATTTCACAATGAATCCACTGTGTGACGTCACCACCCGAAGGAGCCACTTTGATGACGCATCAGTGCAACATGATATGACATCAATATTTCAGATGACTCAATTGTTGGTGCAACATGCACAGACTATCTAAAGCAAAAGATGGGAGATGGGTGGTCTGGAGTAGATTCTATAAGAACCATGGCATCACAGGAACACAGGAAGCAAACCCTTATGTGCGGTTGCATTAAGGGTACCCACTAAGTCCGTTGACTCAGCTCTGAGTGTTGTCGTGTTAAGGGCAATTCCAGGATAACAGTGACATTAACTAGGTTTCTATTCAATTGGCGAAATATTTATGCAAATACTCTAAAATCTGCACATTTTCCCACCAGTGATGCATTTCTACCAAACTAACTTGTTGCAGCAGTCAAGCAACGGTCATCGTGTCACCAGAATAAGAGCCGCGATATTTATTGGAAAGGAGCATCAAGATCAGTGTGCACTTTCACCACCCTGTGAAGTTCATCATTTATTTAATCTGTAGCCTAATAAACTGCATGGTTTCCTGAGTCGTAGTGGGAGGACCACACACCATATTATCGCGTGACTCCCAAGTTTACTTCGATATGATGGTTATTATATCAACATTTGCGCATAAAGGCGTTTCCACTGCCATTTCTCGTGTTAATCAGTTTTACCGACAGAAAAAGATACCACCATGTCGAACGAACAAACTATCGGCAGAATGACGGCACAAACACAAACCATCATTCCGTTACCAAACTTTGCATCTGCATGGTTCTTCAAGTAAATGTGTTTTTGTAAAATGTTCAGTGGAAATTGTTAAAAGTAGTCCTTGTGCATAGAGTTGTATGGTTTGTTTAACTTGGCAATCATTGTTTTTTGTTTGACATACATTTTAAAGTGACAAATATGAGTCTGTGTCCCTCTGTTACCGTGGAATTGCCCTTAAGTATTGCATCAATAGCGGTGTTGGCTGTGAGGATTTGCCTACATGATACAGGTCTGGGGGGAAACCCTGGAGCGTGGTGCTACAGATTTGAACATTTACCCATAACACACTTTGTGACTTGTCAAACAGTGACTGAGGCGTCTAAATGTTGCTCTATTGAAAGACTTGATACCAGGCAGTGGTCAGTGTTTTACATGCAACTTTAAGTACAGAATATTGTACAATAAACTAAAATAATGAAATGACTTTATAGAGCAACACATTTTACTTGCACCCTCCCCCCCAACAGTGATGGTGCCTTCAATAAATAAAATGAAAGCAAACAAGTTCTCATCTGTTTTGTTGGGTCACCAGAAGTGAACAGATGGTGATAAATATGTATGATATTACCCAGGTTTACCTTTGCATGCCACATATTGATTTGTGGGCAATAAAGAGTGTGAGATATTTAGTGCATTTTACAAAGGCAGGTGGTTATCAGTCCTTCAGATTTATGAAACCGCCTCACTAGCGTAGCGATAACGTTCTCTCTTGCTCACATTAAATCATACAACTGAAAGACTAAATAGCTAGTGCACACAGAAACCACCTCAAACCATTGCCAAGCATGACAAAGAATGTCTGGCTAGCTAATGACAACTGAGTTAAGGAGGATTTGCTTGCTGTTGATACAGTTTATCACGGATGTGTTAAAGCATTGTTAAAGTTGAGTGTCACACCAAAACTAAATCTCGCCTTAGAGACCATAACATTGAGTTTAGGGGGTGAAACAAAAACAAAACTAGTAAGAAAGTAGATTTAAGCCTGATCTAATGTCTCTGGTTGGCTATTTTACAAAGCCTATGTAACATTTTTTACATTTTTTAGAAAACCAAAGAGAATAGGCTATGAACACATTCTGGCCCTGTTGAGCAACATATAATAACTAGGCTACCACAGCCAAGGGCTGTTACCTGAAGAAAGCGGTTCTTCGACAGCATCAGCCATATGGGAAATGTGAGAAACACCTGGGCTGTGAAAACTGACTACTAGCTATGCCAGTGGTGGGTAGATGGCCAAAATGTCCCACAAAGTCAACCAAAGTGAATACAACAAATACTCAACACTCAATGATTATGGAAAAGAAAAACAGCTCAATGCCATCTGTATTTTAGGGCATCAACATCTTATTCATATACTGAAAAAAATATAAAACGCAACAATTTTACTGAATTACAGTTCATAGAAGGAAATCAATCAATTGAAATAAATAAATTAGGCCCTAATCTATGGATTTCACATGATTGGGCAGGCGCGCAGCCATGGGTGGGCCTGGGAGGGCATAGGCCCACCATCTTGGGAGCCAGCTCCACCCACTGGGGAGCCAGGCCCAGCCAATCAGAATGAGTTTTACCCCACAAAAGGGCTTTATTACAGACAGTAATACTTTAATCAGCTGTCCGGGTGGCTGGTCTCAGACGGTCCCGTAGGTGAAGAAGCCGGATGTGGAGGTCCTGGGCTGGCGTGGTTACACGTGGTCTGCGGTTGTGAGGCCGGTTGGATGTACTTCCATATTCTCTATTCTGGCAACAGCTCTGGTGGACATTCCTGCAGTCAGCATGACAATTGCACACTCCCTCAACTTGAGACATCTGTGTGACAAAACTGCACATTTTAGCGTGGCCTTTTATTGTCCCCAGCACGAGGTGCACCTGTGTAATGATCATGCTGTTTAATCAGCTTCTTGATATGCCACAACTGTCATGTGGACAGATTATCTTGGCAAAGGAGAAATGCTCACTAACAGGGATGTAAGCTAATTTGTGCACAAAATTTGTGAGAAGTAAGCTTTCTGTGCGTACAGAAAATGTCTGGGATATTTTATTTCAGCTCATGAAACATGGGAATGACACACCCATATCAGTTTCTTGTGAACACCATGCAAGGGGGTGGGTCTTCGTGAAACGCCAACTCCAAACAAAGTATTCAGACCCCTTGACTTTTTCCACATTTTGTTACGTTACAGCCTTATTCTAAAATGAATTATTTGACAAAGCAAAAACAGGTTTAGAAATTTTTGCAAATTGCAAACAAAATAAAAATGAAATATCACATTTACATTAGTATTCAGAGCTTTTACTCAGTACTTTGTTGAAGCACCTTTGGCAGCGATTACAGCCTTGAGTCTTCTTGGGTATGACGCTACAAGCTTAGCACACCTGTATTTGGGGAGTTTCTCCCATTCTTCTCTGCAGATGCTCTCAAGCTCGGTCAGGTTGGATGGGGAGTGTCGCTGCACAGGTATTTTCAGGTCTCTCCAGCGATGTTAGATCGAGTTCAAGTACGGGCTCTGGCTGGGTCACTCAAGGACATTCAGAGACTTGTCCCGAAGCCACTCCTGCGTTGTCTTGGCTGTGTGCTTAGGGTCGTTGTCCTGTTGGAAGGTGAACCTTCACCCCAGTCTGAGGTCCTGAGCACTCTGGAGCAGATTTTCATCAAGGATCTCTATGTACTTTGCTCCGTTCATCTTTCCCTCGATCCTGACTAGTCTCCCAGTCCCTGCCGCTGAAAAATGGATGGTGCCAGGTTTCCTCCAGACGCGACGCTTGGCATTCAGGCCAAAGAATTCAATCTTGGTTTCATCAGACCAGAGAATCTTGTTTCTCATAGTCTGCGAGTCCTTTAGGTGGCTTTTGGCAAACTCTTCCATTTAAGAATGATGGAGGCCACTGTGTTCTTGGGGACCTTCAATGCTGCAGAAATGTTTTGGTACCCTTCCCCAGAACTTTGCCTCGACACAATCCTGTCTCGGAGCTCTATGGTCAATTCCTTCAACCTCATGGCTTGGTTTTTGCTCTGACAAGCACTGTCAACTGTGGGACCTTATATAGACAGGGGTGTGCCTTTCCAAATCATGTCCAATCAATTGAATTTACCACAGGTGGACTCCAATCCAGTTGTAGAAAAATCCCAAGGATGATCAATGGAAACAGGATACACCTGAGCTCAATTTCAAGTCTCATTGCAAAGGGTCTGAATACTTATGTAATCAAGGTATTTCTGTTTTTTATTTTGAATAAAGTAGAAAAAAAAAAAGAAAAAAAAGGTTTCGTTTTGTCATTATGGGGTATTGTGTGTAGATTGAGGATTAAAAAAAAATCAGTGTTGTAGTACTCGAGTCTGGTCTTGAGACCATATTTTGAGTGCCTCTGTGTCGGATACTTTTGTACTCCGTCTTGACTCGGTCTCGGACAGTGAGGACTCGTAATTTCTTCCCGAGACCAGCAGAGTAAAAAAAAAAACTCTGAATTATCAGTTTCCATTCAGTAAGCGCATAAAACCGCTTCGCCAGGCCAAATATATACACTCCTTTCTTGAAACATGAATCCCTGCAGTCTTTATACCTATTATAGACATGTTTGTGCAGTGATATCTACCAGTAAAATGCTAACTAAGGCAACAATGGGTATGCAAACCAGGTATTGAAAAAGTTTGGTCCGAAATCTTGGTTAGTAGGCTATTTGTGATGTCCAATTCAATCATCCATGCCCAGTTTGTGTAGGCATGGGTGGGCCTGGTTGGACACATTTCTTATTCCCAAACCTCCAAAATGGTCTCCTGATGTTGTTCAAGCATTGTTGTGGACTTAGAAAAACAGCAAAGATGTCATATTCTATTAAAAAAAGGTGTGATTTTAAGAGTGCAAATCTGAAAAAACGGATTTTTTTTTAAAAATAGGAAAACATAGGATTTTTCCTTCACTGGGCAGGCCGTTTGGGAAAATGTTGGAAAAACTGTTGTATACCCACTTCTCCAGGCACCACTACACCACTGCATAGGGCCAATGGAAAGACAGCAGTCACACACAGCATGATGTTAAAGGATAAGCAGTCCATTCATTCTGACATAATAAGCCAGTAGGTCCCAATCATAAGAAGCATTTCCTAATCAAAATTTTGTCAAATCCCCACCATAAGTGTTCAAAATGTCCAGTATTTCGGTGTTCATATTTAAGAAGAACATATGGATTCTTTAGACATTCAGAATGGTGAACAAAATGCATGCTGAGGGCAAATAGAGCCAACCTACATGTTGTTACTTACCAAACACATCGGGGAACAATGAGGGCTTCTATGCCTTCAGAGAAGGGCTAAGGATTTATAAAATACTATTATAATATTATTTTCAATGATATTCTGATTTAATCTCTTAAGTTTTTGTTGGAAAGGGTTAACACTGAAGAGAAAAAAAGATCCAATCAGGATTTTTCTTTGGTGGTCTCTGGGGAGCTAAATCAGCCATTGGCTAGGCCATCAGAAGCTTGATAGAAGGCATCTGCCATTCAACTGTATTAGGGCAGAATTTTGGAGTGACAGTGGAATCAACCAATCACATTGACTTGTAACGGGTGGATCCATTTTTACAAAAACTTGTGGAAACTTCTGCCTTCTCTGAGGCCAACAGGTCCCTGCACAATAGCGAGCAGTAGCTTTTTCCACAGTCAAGCCAGCTAGCTAGCTTTTGTTGTAGGCTAGTTTGCAGCGGCTGCAGCAGGTGTTATCGAAGAGGATGTTGTTCCTAATTTGTTAGCGTCGCCCTTTACAAGATTAACTTAATGATCATTATCTGGTGAGTGTCACTGTGTTTTTTATTGCAGCTTACTTGCTGTTGTTAGCTATTGGCCCTATGTGTTTTACAAAAAGTGCACTCTCCTACATGGAGTGTGCTGGTATTACAGTCGCTGTCACACACATCCTTGGACACGTCACTGATGTCGCTTTTGGTGATAGTGTGATAGTGATGGCGTTAGTCTACCATAGGTTGTGTAAGCAGTGTGGTTGTGGGTAGCATTATCTATGTGGGTTCTATCTCTGAGTGGCAGCCCAAAGCTCGGCTCAGCCTCAGGCTGGTTTGATTCAGTTGGGCGCATTAAGTGATGCAATGTTTCTGTACTTTTTCTTGATTTTGGTACATGTTGGAATATCTCTTTCCCCCACTGAAGGTCCAATAGCCACGGTTCGCCACTGCGCAAACATGTCTAGAATAGATATAAAGACTGTTACAATTTCCCTCGGTCTCCCCTTACGAATAGTGAGCGCACAACCTTCAAACAATTTCCCCCACTCTTCCCTACCAGCGAACAAAATAAATTCTGACGAGTGTGACAAAGTTTGAGGATATTTTTCAACGAAAATTAAAGAACAGTAAATGTTACGAGTAAAGTAGGAGGTCCAGGTTTCAATAGGCGATAAGATAATGTTTTATGAAAAGACAGTATTTGGCCTGGCGAAATGGTTTTATGCGCCGACTGAACGGAAGCTGATAAATACTGTATGACTTTTACTGCGCTGGTCTCGGGAAGAAATTACGAGTCCTCACCGTCTGAGACCGAGTCAAGAGAGTAAAAATGACCCCCGAGACACTCAATGTGGTCTCGAGTACTACAACACTGCTCTCAGCTGTAAGAGCACCATGCAGTCAGTGTGAGCAACAAACCGTCCCTGCATTCCTGATTGGTTGTTAACCCCCAGTGCCCTATATGACAGACAGACACACAGTACTCTCCTTCTCTACTCATCTGATGGGAAGGATTGTGAAACCAAAGCAGACAAGCGAGCACAGGCCTCTGTGGGGAAAGTATGTAGACTAGTTTGGCACCGATCCTCAAACATACAAAGTGAGGTGAACACAAAACAAGTTAAATAGGCCTAAACATCCATAAATACCACTGAAAGAGTGATAGGAGGTTATGTTTATGTCAGGTACAGTTCTCAGCAAACAGCCTTATTAAAAACACTGACACTTCAACTACATAAATATAAGGCAATTTCCCTCTGGTGCCTGTTATGTGCAGACTTTACTAGCAGCTCCAGGATATTGCCTTGCCTCAATGTAATACCATACCACTTTACAGGTCAATGTAATACCATACCACTTTACAGGTCAATGTAATACCATACCACATTACAGGTCAATGTAATACCATACCACTTTACAGGTCAATGAGAACACAGATTTTTTCTGGGAGTTGGGCCAGTGACAGTGAGGAGGTTAAACATCACTATTAATTCAGTGTGACCAGAGGACATTGAATTTGAGTGTGTGTGTGTGTGTGTGTGTGTGTGTGTGTGTGTGTGTTGGAGAGAGAACGAATGCATATATTTGGGAATTAAGCTGTCCATACGTGGGTGTAAACTGATATTTTACATTTACATTTTAGTCATTTAGCAGACGCTCTTATCCAGAGCGACTTACAGGAGCAATTAGGGTTAAGTGCCTTGCTTAAGGATATGAAATGGTTACCGTAGCCCCTTCATTTCAAATGGACCAAGACCACAGCAAAATCAAACCAAGCATAATTTCAGTATAGGACTGAGGCTGGACACCAAGACGCCATTTCCTATGAAAACCGCAAAACTGTGGTTGGTTTGACCATCAGTCCAATGGAGTAAGAGAATTTTGGATCATGACAATTTTTCCAAAACATAAGTACGTGAATGTGCTCATTTCCTCAATATCCGCTCGATGACTCTTTTTACACACACACACAAACAATTCTTGTAGCCTCAAAAAATCAGAAGTGTCATTCAATATTGTTTTCCTGCATGGGATTTATAATATTTATAATAAATAAATATTAAAATATACTAATATAATCTATTTGGAAACTATTGAGATGTTGTGCAGCTAAGAATATTAGGCTGTAGAGGTTGTAGTCTATAGAGGTTGTAAGAGTTCCTTTTCTAAGGAACTAGGAAGGAGAGACACTTAGGATAAGGCTTGTTCTCCATGTTAACATGGAGTAACTACATCAGCATTTCTAAATATTTTCTCTGCCTGGAGCATGTGCTTGAGTATCTCTGACAGACACACAATACTCCCGTAGGAATTTGACTGCCATCTTCTTTCCAAGTAAATCACTGAGACGAACTCCAGATTGTCCTAAAGTTAGACAATGGATGGGAAGAGGCCCAACAAGTGATCTCTTTACAATACAGATGATTATCATCGAAATGCAAAGCATTTGCGAATCAACCATTAACAAATGGGGGACAATTATTTTCTACAGGACATTCAAGTTAATTACACACCTTACAGTCACGATGTGTTTTAGTAGGGAGAAATTAATGGGATGGAAATTACCCTGAAATTGCCCATGTGTGTGTTTGTGTGGGGTGGTTGTAGACTTTTCAGTTCACTTCAAAGTAACGCCCATCCTACACATTAAAACACACCACAGCTGTGCCAGCAGACCGCTCTCAAGATCACCGCTGTGCAAATATTGAAATTCCATAAAGTACCAGACATTAAAAAAAGAAAATTAAAGTCTATCTAATTAAGTATATCGTATACCTGTCACATGTTAAACTGCTGGTACAGCGGGTACAGTATCCAGCCCTATTTTCCGTCATATTCCCTTAATTCCATCCCCAGACATGAGGGAGACAAAGCAATGAGCCGCAACCGGAAAGACCAAAGCTATCCATGGATTTGAACCAGACAGACGTGGTGGACCTCTCCCACCCGCTCTCCCCTCTGACCAACTGTACCTTCAACACCAGCTACCGCTTCACCTTCTACCAGGTGTCCTACAGCGTCATCCTTCTCCTGGGGCTGGCCACCAACGGGCTGGCCCTGTGCAGACTGTGGCTCTCCCCCCGCACCCTCACCAGCACTGCCGTCTACATGGCCAACCTATCTGCTGCAGACCTGTTCTTTGTGGTGTCCCTGCCCCTGAGGATCTACTACCACCACAAGGCCCAGGCCCACTCCCAGGCTCTGCCCACCTCCTGGACCCCTGGAGGGATGTTCTATCAGCTGACCTTCACCCTCAAGTATCAGTCTGTATGGAGGGATCTTCTTCCTGGTCTGCATCGCAGTGGACCGTTGTGTTGCCATAGTGCATCCTCTGGTGGCACCTCCTCGCAGGCTGTGTGCAGCGCGGCTGCTGAGTGGAGGGATCTGGGTGGTGGTGCTGGGGCTTAGTGTGTCCCTACCACTGCTGCGGCCCACCGCCACCAGCCCTGTCTTCTAGACCTGTCGTCCCAGCGCCAGCGCTCCTTCATCCTCGTGGCTCTGGGTCTGGTGCAGGGTGCCCTACTGCTGCTCTTCAGCTACTGCAGCGTGCTGCGCCAGCCTCGACACCGCTCCCGCTCACAGCACCGCAGCCGCCAGCGCACCCTCACCATCATCTACTGGGTGTTGGGGGTCTTCCTGCTCTGCTTCGTCCCCTACCACCTCAACCTGCTGGGCTACACCCTGACCCACGTGGGCCTGCTGCCCAGCTGTGGCCTGGCCCGGGCCTGCACCCAGTGGTGTTGTCCCTGGCCAGCTCCAACTGCTGCCTCAACCCACTTGTCTACTACTTCTCCTCCAGCCTGGTGCATAGGGAGCCCAACAGCAGCACAGGCAGCAGCCAATGATGAGGAGCAATGCTGGGGCTGCCCTCAGAGAGATTGTCGATTCTATTACAGTACGATCTATAATCTATACATGCAGAATAAAGTCCCCCTGACATTAATAATAAGCACTGGCTTTGAGGTGTTAAACTGCTGATAGAAAGTGAATGCTGCCTGGCCTTGAGTGGTGTAGTTGTTATGTCATAATGTAACTATGTGATAAGACTGGCTGTGAGTGACGTACCGCCCTCCAGGCGATGGTCTCCATGATGAGGTGTTCGCAGCGCTCCAGGTGCTTGACGATGTCTTTGCTCAGGCTGGGCTCTGCCTTGATGAAGCTTTCGATCACCTTGTAGAAGTCAAATGCTGTCAGCTGGAACACGTCCAGGATCCATGGGAAGCACAGGTCCGTCTCCACGGGAACACCACCGTTGCTATAGCCACCGTTCTTTAAGGTGCTCCCTGATTGGAGGACAACAGAGACAGTGAAATCATGACTCATAGCTCATCTGTGTTATATTGATTATGATCCTGTTTAGAAATGTTATTAAAAGGGAAGTAGTTACAACTAATGACAGACTGCATTGTAACATGTATGCATGTTGCTAATTCTATTAATACTATTAGCGTGTTCTATGAGAAGTGAGTATATGGCTATTAAAGGCTGGTAGAATAATCTATAGGCTCATCCAGATGACTGCACCAATTAGCAGTGAGTGACTGTGGCTTCTGAAGAAACTCACCACCATAGGTTGCCATGACGACCTCCAAAGCGCAGGCCAGGAGCGATGTGTGGAATGTGGAGTCATTGAGGAGTTTACTGGAACGGAAATCACATGACTTAGGTCAGGGAAATGGGCAGTACACTGCAGTATACACCCTGCAGCTATATTAGTATAATTTTTTGTTTGTTGAGAGTAATTTAAGAATAAATCATTTTAATTCTGGTGAGATGAGCACATTTTGTTCTGTTGCATACCTGAAATTCTGCACCGAAAGCCTTTTCTCTTCCTATTGGGGAAAAATAGATTTTTTAGAATTTGTCAGACATTTCTGAAAATATGGAGGTAAAACCGAAATAGGAATTAGACCAAGTAATTTACCGATTTCAGCATGGACTCCATGACTCTGTAATACAACCGGATACCAAGGGTGAACCTCTGATGAAGAGAAGGAAAAGACATTAATGAGTTTATGACTACATAGTGTCATATAGTGTGGTCTGAATGCACTGTATCAACCAAACATTATACACCAGTTTCACAAGGTGGCATGATTATTATTTCTGTCAGGTCTCAAAGTGGAAAACCCCCTCTGTATCAACAGTTTAGACCACCCCCCTTGTCTCAAGTAATGCAATTCCTCTGTATAGTATGCTGTATTTTAGCCAGGTGGTACCTGTTTGCCCAGCCCCACACAGCGTGGTCCGACAGCCTCACCAAACCTCTGGCTGAACAGCTGACCCAGACTCTCCACACGCTGCAACACCTCCTCTGTTGGGTCCACTGTGCAGTTCTGTCACAACAAGAGGATGGGAAGGAGGAGAGGGTTAAAAGTGCAGGACATACCCCCAAAATGACTTGAGCTATATGATTCAAATGGTATGGCAGGTGAGGTTAACCCTTAAACACAGTCGTGGTGAAACGTACCTTGAAATACACTGCCAGGTTGGCAGAGGGCTGGTCGCCAGAGGAGGTGAGATCAACCCTCAACTGTGCGATGGAGTTCATGGCAGCTCTGCAAAGACATGGGGTGAAAACGCATGATTAATATAATGTTAGGAATCAACGAGACAGAAACCGTTTAATCAACTGACATGCTGACTAGACCAGGCATACGCGTGCATCCGCGTATGCCATCGCGCGCATGTTGATTTCATATCTCCAGGGTTTTTCTATCAATAGTTTCTGCTTAATACGCATGACTTTGAGAAGGCAAAACGACCTATCAAACATCATAGTGTCATGACTGTCCTGTGTGAGGATCTAAGGCCTCAGATCAGCTTGGCAATGGCTGACAACCAGACCCTCTCTCACCCACAGAAGAGGGGAAGGGGGACTGGGCCGGTTTTGGCACCTCACACCCGGTCGTAAATTAGGCAGGAGGGGAATCTCTTGCTACACCTCCAATATTGGTGATTGGAATGTCCCTTTGTCTCCAGAAGACTTTTGCAGCCAAAAAGTAAACACTGGAACAATATTTATAAGATAAGAATGTGGGGAATGGTCAGTGGGGACCTAAAGAATAATCATGTCATATTGTTTATTATTTTGTGATGTCATTAAGAATGGTATCAAGAAAATACTGTAACTTGAAAAGTATCTGTCAAGTTTCATCCAATACATTGTGTATATGGAAAATTATGAAAGTATTTTTGTTAAGATGTGATTTTAGTTTTCTAACAAGATCCTAGTTTTTGATTATACTTTGCACCAGTAATTAGCCACGCCCCGAGTGAGCTCAGAGACTGTGTCAGCATGATGGAACGGCCCTTTAACCAGAGTGCATAAAAAGCCTTGGTAACGGAATTAACATTAGACCAGAAAGACGGCGGTCTACACGTCTGAAAATGGTTGGAACGTTGAACCTCAACACGAGGTGAAGAAGATCACCTCTCAGACTAGACCCGAACATTGCCAGGCTGCAGCTGTGCGTGTAAAGTGGTTCAAACTCTGACTAACCACACAAGGTGGAGAAGAAAGCTCCCCTCTCAGACAATCACTGGGACAGCTAAGTAGCTGTTCTGGAGAGACTCCACTATAAGCAAGGACAACTAAGAAGAAGGACATTGTGACCTCTGGTGGACAACCAGAGCCTTACACCAACCGACCCCTTCCCCATAGAAGGATTGATTGGTTTCAACAGAGATAGACGACGGCAAACACGTAAATACATTCATGATTTCTTACTCCAAACGGGCGGTGGTTCGTGAGCAAAGTATTATGATTACTTTGAGGGTAGTTTCCAAATGTATCAACGATAAGTGTCTCTGTCTCTTTGGTCGTCAACCATTTTGAAAAGAAGGTTGACGACATCCGATTCTCATTTATTAAGTCAAATGACACCGCTGGTCCTGCTCACACTGCCCTACCCTATGCTTTGACTTCTTTCTCCCCTCTCTCTCCAGATGAAATCTTGCGACTTGTGACGGCCGGCCGCCCAACAACCTGCCCACTTGACCCTATCCCCTCCTCTCTTCTCCAGACCATTTCCGGAGACCTTCTCCCTTACCTCACCCCGCTCATCAACTCATCCTTGACCGCTGGCCATGTCACTTTCGTCTTCAAGAGAGCGAGAGTTGCACCCCTCCTCAAAAAACCTACACTCGATCCCTCCGATGTCAACAACTACAGACCAGTATCCCTTCTTTCTTTTCTCTCCAAAACTCTTGAGCGTGCCGTCTCTAGACAACTCTCCTGCTATCTCTCTAAGAATGACCTTCTTGATCCAAACCAGTCAGGTTTCAAGACTGGTCATTCAACTGAGACTGCTCTTCTCTGTGTCACGGAGGCTCTCCGCACTGCTAAAGCTAACTCTCTCTCCTCTGCTCTTATCCTCCTAGACCTATCCGCTGCCTTTGATACTGTGAACCATCAGATCCTCCTCTCCACCCTCTCCGAGTTGGGCATCTCCGGCGCTGCTCACCCTTGGATTGCATCCTATCTGACAGGTCGCTCCTACCAGGTGGCGTGGCGAGAATCTGTCTCCGCACCACGTGCTCTCACCACTGGTGTCCCCCAGGGCTCAGTTCTAGGCCCTCTCCTATTCTCTCTATACACCAAGTCACTTGGCTCTGTCATATCCTCACATGGTCTCTCCTATCATTACTGCGCAGACGACACACAATACATTTTCTCCTTTCTCCCTTCTGATAACCAGGTGGCGAATCGCATCTCTGCATGTCTGGCAGACATATCAGTGTGGATGTCGGATCACCACCTCAAGCTGACCCTCGGCAAGACGGAGCTGCTCTTCCTCCCGGGGAAGGACTGCCCGCTCCATGATCTCGCCATCACGGTTGACAACTCCATTGTGTCCTCCTCCCAGAGTGCAAAGAACCTTGGCGTGACCCTGGACAACACCCTGTCGTTCTCCGCTAACATCAATGCGGTGACCCGATCCTGCAGGTTCATGCTCTACAACATTCTCAGAGTACGACCCTACCTTACAGAGAAAGCGGCACAGGTCCTAATCCAGGCACTTGTCATCTCCCGTCTGGATTACTGCAACTCGCTGTTGGCTGGGCTCCCTGCCTGTGCCATTAAACCCCTACAACTTATCCAGAACGCCCGCAGCCCGTCTGGTGTTCGACCTTCCCAAGTTCTCTCATGTCACCCCGCTCCTCCGCACACTCCACTGGCTTCCAGTTGAGGCTCGCATCTACTACAAGACCATGGTGCTTGCCTACGGAGCTGTGAGGGGAACGGCACCTCCTTACCTTCAGGCTCTGATCAGACCCTACACCCAAACGAGGGCACTACATTCATCCACCTCTGGCCTGCTAGCTCCCCTACCTCTACGAAAGCACAGTTCCCGCTCAGCCCAGTCAAAGCTATTTGCTGCTCTGGCACCCCAATGGTGGAACAAGCTCCCCCACGACACCAGGACAGCGGAGTCACTGACCACCTTCCGGAGACACTTGAAACCCTACCTCTTTAAGGAATACCTGGAATAGTATAAAGTAATCCTTCTACCCCCCCAACCCCACAAAATAAAAAAATAAAAGTGGTTGTCCCACTGGCTATCATAAGTTGAATGCACCAATTTGTAATTCGGATAAGAGCGTCTAATAAATGATGTAAATGTAAATGTCCCTCTTTTGATAACCAGGCAGTCATGTTGTTGTTAGTCCGCTAGGGACTTTTTCTCATGTATTAAGTGTGTATGTTATTCTGTGTTATTATTTAGTTAGCTAGTAAATAAAGAACTAAACCAATTTGCGTAGTGCTGAATCATAAGTAAAGCTGGGGTTCTTGCAGATCCAAGAAGTCTACGACCGTTCAGAATGACGACTGATAAGAGGTAATGATTAATACGTTGACTGTTTTATACACATTGATAGGTAAAGACCTTTGAGTTTAATTCGGGAGATGGTAACTCTATAAACAACTTATTCCGTGGTGCCCCAAATCCTAATGAGTTAATTGTTACATGATTAAATTAATCAAGTAACAATTAAACATAGTTGATTTGATAAATAACAGTCATCATATTAATGAAAGTCACGTCACGACAATAGGTAAGTAAGCCTTGTCTGAGCCAGAACAGCCCATAGGGCAGGAGCTCCTTGTTCTGTAGTGTGAAGCAGTTGATGTACAAGTACAGTGAGGGAAAAAAGTATTTGATCCCCTGCTGATTTTGTATGTTTGCCCACTGACAAAGAAATGATCAGTCTATAATTTTAATGGTAGGTTTATTTGAACAGTGAGAGACAGAATAACAACAACACAATCCAGAAAAACACATGTCAAAAATGTTATAAATTGATTTACATTTTAAATGAGGGACCCCTCTGCAAAACATGACTTAGTACTTGGTGGAAAAACCCTTGTTGGCAATCATAGAGGTCAGACGTTTCTTGTAGTTGGCCACCAGGTTTGCACACATCTCAGGAGGGATTTTGTCCCACTCCTCTTTGCAGATCTTCCCCAAGCCATTAAGGTTTCGAGGCTGACGTTTGGCAACTCGAACCTTCAGCTCCCTCCACAGATTTTCTATGGGATTAAGTTCTGGAGACTGGCTAAGCCACTCCAGGACCTTAATGTGCTTCTTCTTGAGCCACTCCTTTGTTGCCTTGGCCGTGTGTTTTGGGTCATTGCCATGCTGGAATACCCATCCACAACCCATTTTCAATGCCCTGGCTGAGGGAAGGAGGTTCTCACCCAAGATTTGACGGTACATGGCCCCGTCCATCGCCCCTTTGATGCGGTGAAGTTGTCCTGTCCCCTTAGCAGAAAAACACCCTCAAAGCATTATGTTTCCACCTCCATGTTTGATGGTGGGGATGGTGTTCTTGGGGTCATAGGCAGCATTCCTCCTCCTCCAAACACGGCGAGTTGAGTTGATGCCAAAGAGCTCCATTTTGGTCTCATCTGACCACAACACTTTCACCCAGTTCTCCTCTGAATCATTCAGATGTTCATTGGCAAACTTCAGACGGGCCTGTATATGTGCTTTCCTGAGCAGGGGGACCTTGCCGGCGCTGCAGGATTTCAGTCCTTCACGGCGTAGTGTGTTACCAATAGTTTTCTTGGTGACTATAGTCCCAGCTGCCTTGAGATCATTGACAAGATCCTCCCGTGTAGTTCTGGGCTGATTCCTCACCATTCTCATGATCATTGCAACTCCATGAGGTGAGATCTTGCATGGAGCACCAGGCCGAGAGAGATTGACAGTTCTTTTGTGTTTCTTCCATTTGCGAATAATCGCACCAACTGTTGTCACCTTCTCACCAAGCTGCTTGGCGATGGTCTTGTAGCCCATTCCAGCCTTGTGTAGGTCTACAATCTTGTCCCCGATTGATTGCTTCTGTGGACAGGTGTCTTTTATACAGGTAACAAGCTGAGATTAGGAGCACTCCCTTTAAGAGTGTGCTCCTAATCTCAGCTCGTTACCTGTATAAAAGACACCTGGCAGCCAGAAATCTTTCTGATTGAGATGGGGTCAAATACTTATTTCCCTCATTAAAATGCAAATCAATTTATAACATTTTTGACATGCGTTTTTCTGGATTTTTGTTGTTGTTATTATGTCTCTCACTGTTCAAATAAACCTACCATTAAAATTATAGACTGATCATTTCTTTGTCAGTGGGCAAACGTACAAAATCAGCAGGGGATCAAAAACTTTTTTCCCTCACTGTACACCCCCTGGACAGGACTGTCAAACATCATAGGAGTAAGCATCTGTTGGTCCAGGGGAACACGCTGTCCTAGCCAGTGGAGGATGGACAGTCAGCTGATGGTAAGGGCTAAGGAGTGGAGGTCAAAGGGGGCTCACCTGACAGGCGTCTGTGGGGGGATGAGAACAACATCCTCTTCAGGCAGGTTCTTCCTTGGTGTCCTTTCCACCTGCATTCTGAGAGGAGAAGTGAATGGATATTATACACTATAAAGTACTAGGTATAGTGAGACTTTCTTTGTCAGAGAAAATACTTCAAAATTATGTAAACATTACTTGTAGTTCTACTTACGGTTCTACTTTGGGAGTGAGAAGTGTCTCATCATTATCCAAGAACAGCCTACTGTCAAAGTCTCTACTCTTGAAGTAGAGTTCCTCATACTGCTTGTTGAGGTCAGTCACCTGAAAAGTCAACAGGAGGTCAAGACAGGCTCTGACAGGAACTAAATTACATAATGGTTATTCCAGGTAAATTTCACAATTCCACAGAAACTTCAGCACTTTTGGATAAAGGTATGGTTTTGCGTGGATGGAAGTGTGGAAAACACCTCTACCATGACGATTTAGGCAGACTGACACCATGAATCATATCATACCCCATGACTGGTGAAAAATTATTATTGAGTCGTTACAACAAACTAACAACACATGTTAATGTAGCTACTGTACTGGCAGAGATTAAATAAAATGCCTATTAAACCGCTGTCATTGTCAACCCTTGTGACTGTTTCCTGGCTACTGGGGAAATAGTCCTGCTATAAGACAAATCGTTGTCATTTCAAAGTCAATATTAACACCTATTTCTTCTCCATACCTGCCCCTGTAATATACTGTCCTGAGACACCACATCTAATGAAAATCCAGCTGCCAAACATTGCAGTACAAACACATCCTGACAGAACAGCTTTCAGACACTCACACACTCAATACTGGCTGAAAAACACTGATCTGTTTACCGATGGCTGTCATATACACTGCTCAAAAAAATAAAGGGAACACTTAAACAACACAATGTAACTCCAAGTCAATCACACTTCTGTGAAATCAAACTGTCCACTTAGGAAGCAACACTGATTGACAATACATTTCACACGCTGTTGTGACAGAGTCTGGAGACGCAGTGGAGAATGTTCTGCTGCCTGCAACATCCTCCAGCATGACCGGTTTGGCGGTGGGTCAGTCATGGTGTGGGGTTGCATTTCTTTGGGGGGCCGCACAGCCCTCCATGTGCTCGCCAGAGGTAGCCTGACTGCCATTAGGTACCGAGATGAGATCCTCAGACCCCTTGTGAGACTATATAACCTGGGTCAGAGCAATAAGCTCCAGCATTTAATGTAGTGTGTGGTTCCTACCTGAGGAAGGTCCCAAGTCCCAGAGAGGCTCATGGAGTCCAGGAAAGCAGAGAAACTGGTCTGGTACACACTCTTCACCTTGAACACAAGTACAACAGATGACCAATGAGATGACAGACACACAGAACACCCAAACAAACAGACTTCACAGCCATGTAAATGAACAGGCTGAACCACATCCATTCTGTGTGACAGAAATAACTGAATTACATCAACTTACTCACAAACAGCCAACGCTGCTGTCCCATGTCTATATAGACATTAAACACTGGACCGTTTCTTACTGTTTTACACACTGTATACAGGGCAATCGGAAAGCATTTCAGACCCTTTCACTTTTTCCACATTTTGTTAAGTTACAGCCTTATTCAAAAATGGATTAAATTGTTCCCCCCCCCCTCATCAATCAACACACGATACCCCATAATGACAAAGCAAAAACAGGTTTTTAGAAAGGTTTCCAAATTTATAAAAAAAATAAAAAACAGAAATATCACATTTACATAAGTATTCAGACCCTTTACTCAGTACTTTGTTGAAGCACCTTTGGCATAGCTCTGCATATCCTCTCAAGCTCTGTCAGGTTGGATGGGGAGCATCACTGCACAGCTATTTTCAGGTTTCTCCAGAGATGTTCAAATTGGGTTGAAGTCCAGGCTCTGGTTGGGCCACTCAAGGACATTCAGAGTCTTGTCCCGAAGCCACTCCTGCGTTCTCTTGGCTGTGTCCTTAGGGTCGTTGTCCTGTTGGAAGGTGAACCTCGCCCCAGTCTGAGGTCCTGAGCGCTCTGGAGCAGGTTTTCATCAAGGATCTCTCTGTACTTTGCTCCGTTCATCTTTTATCAGACCAGAGAATCTTGTTTCTCATTGTCTGAGAGTCCTTTAGGTGCCTTTTGGCAAACTCCAAGTGGGCGGTCATGTGCCTTTTACTGAGGAGCGGCTTCCGTCCGGCCACTCTACCATAAAGGCCTGATTGGTGGAGTGCTGCAGAGATGGTTGTCCTTCTGGAAGTTTCTCTGGAGCTCTGTCAGAGTGACCATCGGGTTCTTGGTCACCTCACTGACCAAGGCCCTTCTCCCTCGATTGCTCAGTTTGGCCGGGCCGCCAGCTCTAGGAAGAGTCTTGGTGGTTCCAAACTTCTTCCATTTAAGAATGATGGAGGCCACTGTGTTCTTGGGGACCTTCAATGCTGCAGAAATATTTTGGTACCCTTCCCAAGATCTGTGCCTCGACACAATCCTGTCTCGGAGCTCTACGGACAATTCCGTAGTCCTCATGGCTTGGTTCTTCTCTGACATGCACTGTCAACTGTGGGACCTTATATAGACAGGTGTGTGCCTTTCCAAATCATGTCCAATCAATTGAATTTACCACAGATGGACTCCAAGTTGTACAAACATCTGAAGGATGATCAATGGAAACATGGAATACATATGTAAATAAGGTAACTGTTTTTTATTTTTAATACATTTGCTAAGATTTCTAAAAAGCTGTTTTTGCTTTGTCATTATGGGGTATTGTCTGTAGATTGAGGAAAAATAAACAATTGAATCCATTTTAGAATAAGGCTGTAACTTAACAAAATGTGGAAAAAGTGAAGGGGTCTGAATACTTTCTGAATGCACTGTATTCATATACTGTATTCTTCACATAGCTCATTCTAATATATCTACTACTGTACATTGTATTTTTTGTTACACTGTTTATACACACCGCCTGTATTTATCTACTGGATTCTTGACATAGCTCACTAATACTAAGAATGATATGTACAGCAGTAGATGTATATCTTTCTGGTGTATATACGCATAGATTACATTTGGATTACTGATACAATTTTGTTTGGGTTAGCTGAATTCACCCTGACATTCGTGATTTTATGTTTCTATTTTTGATTATTATTATTATTTTATTACTTGTTTGACTGCACTGTTAGTAACAAGCATTTCACTGCACCCACTATAACATCTGCTAAACTGTGTATGAGACAAACTTTTATTAGAATTTTGACCTTATAAGTGGATTGGGTGTTTGTTTATTTGGATCCCCATTAACTTTTAGAGATGTAGCAGCTATTCTTCCTGGGGTCGACAAAAAACATGACAAGTAACAAAATATTGAAACACTTAGACAAGGACAGTCACACAAATGTAAAATGCAACAATATTCAAACAATACAAGGCAGGGCTCTAAAATACGACCAATGCCATATATTTTGGTGTGCGACCAGGAGTTTTATTTTGGGAGCACTGTGCAACTATGATTAAAATCTCCCAGATTATAGTTGTTGTAATAAAAGGCTTCGCTGTACTGTTGTTTCCAAGTGCCCTAGAGAAACAACCGAGTGCAGATTCGTTAGCATCATAGTTGCACCATTACTACAGCAAAAACGGCTTGCTTCTAGCCCAACCAGGTCAAAATATCTGACCCATAATATCAACATTTTTATCTTCATATAGCAGATTGGCGGGACAATTTTACTTTTATAAACCATGTCATTGGCCGTTCTAAAACTCTCGACGTCGTTAAACATTAGTTTACACTTTTCAATGTTACCTCATTGGCTAGCTAGCTAACAACTTTACCAGTATATCCAAACATTGAGGACAGAGAAAGAAATGTATAGCTTCTTCTTCAGGAGATCAATGATCATAGCAATAAATAAATGACAGATCTCTTGCATGTCGTCATCACAAACCTGACGTTTTTAAAGAGACTGTGCACAATTTAACGTAATGCATCTCAATAGGAAAATAGTGTTTTTACACAATGTAGAAACCTAATATTCCACAAATGACTTTGTAATTTCGATGACAGGTATTCATATCAACATTTTAGCTTTTATAAAAAACGTGTGTATTTACAGAGTTACATATTAGCTTCTAGGGCACAACATATGCTTTAAAAGTAGTTAGAATTCATATAGGCCCAATATAGGTTGTATCTCAATCAATTAAAAAAATATTTTAAGTTGGGAGCACCAGTGCTAAAACTGTTAATTTAGAGCCCTACTAAATGTTAATTTAGAGCCCTACTTAAAGGGGTAGTGGATTTTTACGTGGGGGACTGGGATCTAAAGCTACAACAAGCTGACAAGGCATGAGTGTAAATGAGTCAAAACGTAGTGTGAACCTCTTCCACGCTGCAGTCGTTCTCTTTGCAGAGGGTCTCCAGGAGCTGCACGTCCACCTCTTGAGGGGCTTGACGGGGCTTGGCTTTGCTCTGATTGCGACGGGAGGTTCTTGTTGGGGGGCTCTGGCCTGTGCTGATGGCCGATTCTGAGGGCAGAGGTTAAAAGGTTAGATTTTATAACCATTTATCTACAGAACGTATCAGACGTGGTAATATAACACACTGAACGTATGTGTTATATTAAAAAGGTAACTTTCACTTTTTTTAGTTGAGTAATGACAGTGATAGGGGCAGTTGACCAATGCAAATGTGGGAGAATGTCTATGCAAGGGCATGAGGCTTGCAGTAGTAGAGGGAAAGGAGTCAGAGCCTGACTTACGGTAAAGTGGCTGCAGAAGGCTGGGCGGGCAACGCCTGATGAAGAACTCCAAAACACACACCATCAGATGGAAGGATATGACCAGGTCATCCTCCATCTGCAGAGCCCTTCCTGCAGACAGCAGACAACGCACATCAGGAGCAGTATCATAACACTGGCCTGTCTTAACAGTGTCATGGGAGAAACAGACCCATGGACAGAAACCTGCTGTTTATCTCGCCAGAACTCAGAGATGGAGAGGGAAAGCATAAGAAGTGAAAGATGGAAACCATCTCCGAGCCCTACATCTACAAATGGTTTGTTGTTCTTCGCCTTGCAAAAAAATACATTTACAATGTTAGTGATCAACAACGGCTGACCCACCCTTAGCCAAAAGGAACATTGTCCAGCAGCTCCGCAGGATTTCTTTCCCCCTGGAACACAGAGAACATTATTCACATTACATCACATATTGGGAGCAAACTCCCCATTATCAACATTGACCCTCATTTACTTTTGGATAAATGGGATTGGGTGAAGACACGGTTTAAAAGATAGCAATGATTACCATTGTGGCAGATACTATCATTCAAATTGGTGGTATTTCGGCACTTTTTATTCACTTACTTTGCTTCTGAATCCACTGCATAGATTTTGCTGCATGTCCTGAAACAAGATAAGTAGTGATAAATATTGCATATCAAATACAATGTGGGCACATAATTACATTACTAAACAGCTCAGATCCAGGTTGTGTACTCTGAAGTTTGCATTTTTGTGAAAATCCAAAGCTGGATAAAAACAAAAGCAGACAAAGGGGACCAGACAAACTACACTGCCACCTAGAGGTAGAGCACTATTAGTCACCACACTGTTAGACATCAAAAAGGCTGAAGATAAACTATAAAAACTAGCCATGAAGTAACATGACGTTAAGATACTCCCACTCACTTCTCAAACCTCTGGTAGAGTGCCCGTGACACATCATACTTCTTCTCCAGTCGGGTGACTGCTGAGTTCACCTTGGTGCTGATGGTATCCAGGTTCACATCCATCTTCTTCAGCAGGCCCAGGAACTGCTTCACACTGCACACAAGAGTATACACGAAACTGCTAGAACTGCATCTCATTGTAAACAAGAATTGAAATGTGTTCAATTGGCTGATAACGTGCTATCAAAATCTGTGATGCCAAACACCTGCTTTGTTTGTATTTTGGCCTGTACTTTTAATATGGAGACTTCGGCTGATATATGCATTCCTCATTATAACAGAGGCAGGCACGTGTTCAGATAGTGCACTACATGTGCAGAGCACATGCCCCTTTGCCCTTCCAGTCTCAAAGTTCCCTTTTGGGTGGTAGTATAATTTCCCCCCAAAAAATGCTGTATAAATGTTTTGTCATTGTTGTTCGTAACCCACTGCCTGCAAGTCATCGTGACGTCAAGTTCGCCATCCCCCACCTTGTCCGTTGGTTGAGCCTGTTGATCTGCCCTGTACGGAGCTCGCACGCCCGGTTGTGCCCGTTTTCCAGTCTGACGCCGGTATCCAAACATGCATGGCTCAAGCGATGCGGTCACCAGTCAAGTCCCTATAGGTAGCTATCTAGTTTAAATATCCACAGTACTGCCACAGCAGCATAACATTTGATTAACGCTTGATACACTTGATTTAGCCTACATCATCAATATTCAGGCAGTTTGTCTGATACGCGCAGCAGAAAGACAGAGAGGAGCGGCTGCATCAACGACTCCTCGACCCAACTCCATGGTTCGCGGGAAACGAGCAGGAACAGGCTTTTGTAGGCTAAAGTTCAAGCTGTCTTTCAATGGTGCAACTGCTGTCGGCATCCAAAGATTATCCAATTTGAATAAACGTTTGGAGGTAAGGACGACAGCAGTAGTCTTCGGGCAATACGGATTTAAATTATTATTGATATATCTACAAAGCGCATTGATGTGAATCACACTGCTGTTCTCTCATTTAGCTATTTGCACCTTACGGATTGTGGTTGTTGTGGATTGCTGTTCACAAATGTATGTATATTTTAACCCAATAATAGTTGAACTGAAGAAGTTTAAGCTGCCTATCAATCATTGTTTTTGCGACCAGGACAGCCAGTGAAAAATGCGCTCTTGCAACAGCTGCATAGTGCAGATCCCAGCCTATGGAATAAAGGTTTGATGGAGTTCTCTTATTGTTCTCCATACTGTCAAAAACTAGCTTAAATTGGAGAAGACTACGAGTGGGGCTTTTATTGCTCAAGATAATTTGTGCAACAACAAAAAGTCCATAGGCCTAACGGACATAAGCTCAAACTCGCACACTTTCGATAGTTAGCTGCAAATGATCTAAATATCAAAATGTCACCAACAAAAACGTAAACAGTAGGCCTATAGCAAATGCAGCATATGGCATACATATTTCACATGCAAATAGCACTTTTCAGTAGTGCTCAAAGCATGCCATTCCGAGAGTAGCATTTCTTTTTCAACTCAAAGCAATGAGCCCAATCAGTCCATCATGACAACAAAATCATAAACAGAGTACGCTAACAAGTCCTTCATTTTTGGGTTATGCTCAGGTAAAACAATTTGGCTAATCTACAGTGAGGGAAAAAAATATTTGATCCCCTGCTGATTTTGAACGTTTGCCCACTGACAAAGACATGATCAATCTATAATTTTAATGGTAGGTTTATTTGAACAGTGAGAGACACAATAACAACAACAAAATCCAGAAAAACGCATGTCAAAAATGTTATAAATTGATTTGCATTTTAATGAGGGAAATAAGTATTTGACCCCTCTGCAAAACATGACTTAGTACTTGGTGGCAAAACCCTTGTTGGAAATCACAGAGGTCAGACGTTTCTTATAGTTGGCCACCAGGTTTGCACACATCTCAGGAGGGATTTTGTCCCACTCCTCTTTGCAGATCTTCTCCAAGTCATTAAGGTTTCGAGGCTGACGTTTGGCAACTGGAACCTTCAGCTCCCTCCACAGATTTTCTATGGGATTAAGGTCTGGAGACTGGCTAGGCCACTCCAGGACCTTAATGTGCTTCTTCTTGTGCCACTACTTTGTTGCCTTGGCCGTGTGTTTTGGGTCATTGTCATGCTGGAATACCCATCCACGACCCATTTTCAATGCCCTGGCTGAGGGAAGGAGGTTCTCACCCAACATTTGACGGTACATGGCGCCGTCCATCGTCCCTTTGATGCGGTGAAGTTGACCTGTCCCCTTAGCAGAAAAACACCCCCAAAGCATAATGTTTCCACCTCCATGTTTGATGGTGGGGATGGTGTTTTTGGGGTCATAGGCAGCATTCCTCCTCCTCCAAACACGGCGAGTTGAGTTGATGCCAAAGAGCTCCATTTTGGTCTCATCTGACCACAACACTTTCACCCAGTTCTCCTCTGAATCATTCAGATGTTCATTGGCAAACTTCAGACGGGCCTGTATATGTGCTTTCTTGAGCAGGGGGACCTTGCAGGCGCTGCAGGATTTCAGTCCTTCATGGCGTAGTGTGTTACCAATTGTTTTCTTGGTGACTATGGTCCCAGCTGCCTTGAGATCATTGACAAGATCCTCCCATGTAGTTCTGGGCTGATTCCTCACCGTTCTCATGGTCATTGCAACTCCACGAGGTGAGATCTTGCATGGAGCCCCAGGCCGAGGGTGATTGACAGTTATTTTGTGTTTCTTCCATTTGCGAATAATCGCACCAACTGTTGTCACCTTCTCACCAAGCTGCTTGGCGATGGTCTTGTAGCCCATTCCAGCCTTGTGTAGGTCTACAATCTTGTCCCTGACATCCTTGGAGAGCTCTTTGGTCTTGGCCATGGTGGAGAGTTTGGAATCTGATTGATTGATTGCTTCTGTGGACAGGTGTCTTTTATACAGGTAACAAACTGAGATTAGGAGCAGTCCCTTTAAGAGTGTGCTCCTAATCTCAGCTCGTTACCTGTATAAAAGACACCTGGGAGCCAGAAATCTTTCTGATTGAGAGGGGGTCAAATACTTATTTCCCTCATTAAAATGCAAATCAATTTATAACATTTTTTTACATGCGTTTTTCTGGATTTTGTTGTTGTTATTCTGTCTCTCACTGTTCAAATAAGCCTACCATTAAAATTATAAACTGATCATTTCTTTGTCAGTGGGCAAACGTACAAAATCAGCAGGGGATCAAATACTTTTTTCCCTCACTGTATAATTCCATATTTCCAAGTCCTATTCTTGAAGATCAAGGGGTATTAAATGAATTGTAATGACTGGAAATATGACAGACTTTGGTTATTAACGTAAAGATATAGCCTAATCGTATTATTATCTGTAGTAGAAAGCAATGGATAAGAAGAAGCCTACATAACCAACCCACATTTTTGTCTTCTTCTAATTCCTCTTAAGGGGAAAGTAATCTAAATGTAACTGAAAGTAATCAGATTATGTTACTGAGTTTGAGTAATCCAAGTTATGTTATAACTGGTAACTGTAACGGATTACATTTAGAAAGTAATCTACCCAATCCTGTCAGTGAGTAAGCTACTCTAAAGAGGGTTGCCAGGGGAAAACGTCAACTGATCTGGGCACTGGAGCTGACAAAGGCCCCACTGGAACACCTGAATCTAGTACTTACTTCAGATCCACTGCCTTCTGGATTTGAGTAAAGGTAAAACTTGCAACTTCCAAGTCTATCACAGCCACAAACAGACAAGCGCCCCAAAGCCTTTTTTGAGTATCCTGTGTTGACAGAGAGAAGAAAAACATTGTATTGTCAGTCTCTGTGTGAATAGCCTTGAATCCTGTTTATTTCAGAGACAAATAGTTATTGTTCAGTTGTTTATTCACTTGTTATACTCTTTCCATCATCAGAGCAGACAGAAAGGGTATCAGTAGATAAAACACATTGTATAGTCTACTAGTAACTTGGGGATAATGGGTGGATACGTACAGGAACTTTGTCCACTGAGGCCTGAACTGCCTTCCATATTGTCCAGGCACGATCACACACCGCATCTGTCACCTGGAGACTCTGACACAGAGTAACGAAGTCTGCATCCTTCTCTTTGTGCCTGACGGTTTAAAAAAAATAGAAAGTTAGACACATTTAGATCAACCATACTTAGTTTGGACATTGTGCACTCAAAAATCACTGTTTTGACAGTCATGATTTGTGAGGGGAGCAATAAGTACATGTAGTTGTTGATGTAGAATTAGTGTTGTTTTTTTGTCATTGTCTTGCTACATCCATTTTTTGACTTATAAATGAATGATATATACCCATTGATTCTTGAAGAATATAACTTATAAATGCCTCATGAGCTTAGTTAAATTGTTGCACCCCATCAGAACCCAAAATATAAGCTTGTTTTACTCCAATGTTTATAAATAATGTAAATGTAAACAAACTGTATAGCCTCAAAACATGCTTAAAACTATACTATTGATATCATGGATGGTCAGTCCTTGCATCCATAGCTCTGTTTATGAATATGAGAGCGGATACATTTCTCCAGGCCCATCCCTAATATTTTTACCAAAACAGAGGCAGTGTGACCCTTTGTTATTGTTTCAACTAAGGATTCTAGGTTTAACTCCATCATTCTAACACTCAATGGTAGGCCTTGTAATTCAAACCCAAATGTTGCGATGTCCAAGCGCTTACTTACGAATGTTGAACAAGATTTCTGAAGTGGGAAATAATATCTATGAACCGTGATCAAATGGACTGGGGTCATTTTAGTGTGGTCCCTATGTAAGTTCTGTCCTATTAGTGAAAGTGATGACTGTCGTGAGACGGCTGGCTAACTCCTTTGGTAAGATCCTTAGCTAGCTAGTAGCTAGCTACTTGAACACATTTGTTTTTGAATCTAGCCATCTATCAACCTAAAATTGCTAACTAGCTGGAAAATAACAGCTTGATGTTAGTAAACTTAAAAAAGTAAACTTGTAACTAATAAGACAAGGGGCATGTCACATATTCCCAAATAATGCTATAGCTAGTTAGCTACTGATGGATAACTCTAGTTAGCATGTTTTCCCAGCTGTTCGTCTTGCCTTGTTTTCGTGGGGGGATGTTGGTGGTAACGTTACGTTAGCAAACAATCGTTTGACGTAAAGAAAATAACGTTATAATTTAGTCCAAAACATAACAGGGTACGATATATGTTAATAATTATCTTATTAAATACGACAGATGGATACGCAGCTTACTTTTCAATCGATAACGTTAAATCTGGATTCTCCTTGTCCGGGGAGGCGTTTTTGATGCTGAGCTTCATTTCCTTGTTCTGTGCTGCTCCAGAGTTGCGTTTTTTGGGAGGCATCTTTGCGGATTATCAGATTATTAAACCTAAATACAAATGTGTAAATGTATCGGTTTTCTATTTTATAGCCTTTTTAATAGTTTACTTCGTTTATATCCCAATTTGGTCCCGTACAAAACCCGGATTTTACTTGTCAGCTTCCTGAAATCCACCTACGGATTCATATCTCGGATTCACAGAATAAAGAAACCGCGGGAAAATGTCGCATACGTAACATATATCAGACGTCATCTCCGGGCCAATCTGACATTCGTCTTTGGCGCCATCTGTGTGTCGGCCTACTGTTGTTGTTGTTCTTCTTCTTCTTCTTCTTCTTCTTCTTCAATGAGGTTTAACGGCGGTTGGCATCCAATTTGTTGCATTACCGCCACCTACTAGACTGGAGTACAACTCCCTTTTCTTTTCCTTGAAAAATAAAACATTTTACATTTACATTATTTAGTAGACGCTCTTATCCAGAGCGACTTACAGGAGCAATTAGGGTTAAGTGCCTTGCTCAAGGGCACATAGACAGATTTTTCACCTAGTTAGCTCAGGGATTAGAACCAGCAACCGTTCGGTTACTGGCACAACGCTCTTAACCACTAAGCTACCTGCCGCCCCAAAACAAAGCAAAGAAATACCCTACCATCTAACACTACACTCACAAATTCAAAACTATTACTAATAATTAACCCCACCCTTCTCCACTATTTAAATATACTCACTCCTACCTCATGCCCTCAACCTGAACTGATGGGAAATCACCACTTAACACTCCCTGTAACTCTTCTGCTGTCAAGTCTCCCACACCCAAATATCTCTCTGCAGCTGCCACCACAACCTCAATTTTCTTAGACTTACGTTCCATCCCTGCAGTACAATTAATAACCATTGCTATAAATGCTAAAAATCCAATCTTACTGAAACATACAGTTGAAGTCGGAAGTTTACATACACTTAGGTTGGAGTCATTAAAACTAGTTTTTCAACCACTCCACAAATTTCTTGTTAACAAACTATAGTTTTGGCAAGTCGGTTAGGACATCTACTTTGGGCATGACACAAGTAATTTTTTCAACAATTGTTTACAGACAGATTATTTCACTTATAATTCACTGTATCACAATTCCAGTGGGTCAGAAGTTTACTAAGTTGACTTTGCCTTTAAACATCTTGGAAAATTCCAGAAAATGATGTCACGGCTTTAGATGCTTCTGATTGGCTAATTTACATCATTTTAGTCAATTGGAGGTGTACCTGTGGATGTATTTCAAGGCCTACCTTCAAACTCAGTGCCTCTTTGGTTGACATCATGGGAAAATCAAAAGAAATCAGCCAAGACCTCAGAAAAAAATGGTAGACCTCCACAAGTCTGGTTCATCCTTGGGAGCAATTTCCAAACGCCTGAAGGTACCACGTTCATCTGGACAAACAATAGTACGCAGGTATAAGCACCATGGGATCACGCAGCCGTCATACCGCTCAGGAAGGAAATGCGTTCTGTCTCCTAGAGACCAACGTACTTTGGTGCGAAAAGTGCCAATCAATCCCAGAACAACAGCAAAGGACGTTGTGAAGATGCTGGAGGAAACAGGTACAAAAGTATCTATATCCACAGTAAAACAAGTCCTATATCGACATAACCTGAAAGGCAGCTCAGCAAGGAAGAAGCCACTGCTCCAAAACTGCACATGGGGACAAAGATCGTACTTTTTGGAGAAATGTCCTCTGGTCTGATGAAACAAAAATAGAACTGTTTGGCCATAATGACCATCGTTATGTTTGGAGGAAAAAGGGGCACGCTTGCAAGCTGAAGAACACCATCCCAACCGTGAAGCACGGGGGTGGCAGCATAATGCTGTGGGGGTGCTTTGCTGCAGGAGGGACTGGTGCACTTCACAAAATAGATGGCATCATGAGGATGGAAAATTATGTGGATATATTGAAACAACATCTCAAGACATCAGTCAGGAAGTTAAAGCTTGGTCGCAAATGGGTCTTCCAAATGGACAATGACCCCAAGCATACTTCCAACGTTGTGGCAAAATGGCTTAAGGACAACAATTCAAGGTATTGGAGTGGCCATCACAAAGCCCTGACCTCAACCTATAGAAAATGTGTGGGCAGAACTGAAAAAGCGTGTGCGAGCAAGGAGGCCTACAAACCTGACTCAGTTACACCAGCTCTGTCAGGAGGAATGGGCCAAAATTCACCCAACTTATTGTGGGAAGCTTGTGGAAGGCTACCCGAAACGTTTCACCCAAGTTAAACAATTTAAAGACAATGCTACCAAATACTAATTGAGTGTATGTAAACTTCTGACCCACTGGGAATGTGATGAATGAAATAAAAGCTTAAATAAATCATTCTCTGTACTATTATTCTGACATTTCACATTCTTAAAATAAAGTGGTGATCCTAACTGACCTAAGACTTCGTCAACCACTTTGAAAAGAAGGTTGACGACATTCGATCCTCGTTTGTTAAGTCTAATGACACTGCTGGTCCTACTCACACTGCCCTACCCTATGCTTTGACTTCTTTCTCCCCTCTCTCTCCAGATAAAATCCTGCGACTTGTGACTGCAGGCCGCCCAACAACCTGCCCGCTTGACCCCATCCCCTCCTCTCTTCTCCAGACCATCTCCGGTGACCTTCTCCCCTACCTCACCTCGCTGATCAACTCATCCTTGACCGCTGGCCATGTCCCTTCCGTCTTCAAGAGAGCGAGAGTTGCTCCCCTTCTCAAGAAACCAACACTCGATCCCACTGATGTCAACAACTACAGACCAGTATCCCTTCTTTCTTTTCTTTCCAAAACTATTGAGCGTGCCGTCTTTAGCCAACTCTCTTGCTATCTCTCTCAGAATGACCTTCTTGATCCAAACCAGTCAGGTTTCAGGACTGGTCATTCAACTGAGACTGCTCTTCTATGTGTCACAGAGGCTCTCCGCACTGCTAAAGCTAACTCTCTCTCCTCTGCTCTTGTCCTTCTAGACCTGTCTGCTGCCTTTGATACTGTGAACCATCAGATCCTCCTCTCCACCCTCTCCGAGCTGGGCATCTCCGGCGCGGCTCACTCCTGGATTGCGTCCTACCTGACCGGTCGCTCCTACCAAGTGGCGTGGCGAGAAGCTGTCTCCGCACCACGTGCTCTCACCACTGGTGTCCCCCAGGGCTCAGTTCTAGGCCCTCTCCTTTTCTCCCTATACACCAAGTCACTTGGCTCTGTCATATCCTCACATGGCCTCTCCTATCATTGCTACGCTGACGATACACAACTAATCTTCTCCTTTCCCCCTTCTGATAACCAGGTGGCGAATCGCATCTCTGCATGTCTGGCAGACATATCAGTATGGATGACGGATCACCACCTCAAGCTGAACCCTGGCAAGACGGAGCTGCTCTTCCTCCCGGGGAAGGACTGCCCGTTCCATGATCTCGCCATCACGGTTGACAACTCCGCTGTGTCCTCCTCCCAGAGTGCGAAGAGCCTAGGCGTGACCCTGGACAACACCCTGTCGTTCTCCGCCAACATCAAGGCGGTGACCCGCTCCTGCAGGTTCATGCTCTACAACATTCGGAGAGTACGACCCTGCCTTACACAGGAAGCGGCACAGGTCCTAATCCAGGCACTTGTCATCTCCCGTCTGGACTACTGCAACTCGCTGTTGGCTGGCCTCCCTGCCTGTGCCATTAAACCCCTACAACTCATCCAGAATGCCGCAGCCCGTCTGGTGTTCAACCTTCCCAAGTTCTCTCACGTCACCCCCCTCCTCCGCACACTCCACTGGCTTCCAGTTGAAGCTCGCATCCGCTACAAGACCATGGTGCTTGCCTATGGAGCAGTGAGGGGAACGGCACCTCTGTACCTTCGGGCTCTGATCAGTCCCTACACCCAAACGAGGGCATTGCGTTCATCCACCTCTGGCCTGCTGGCTCCCCTTCCTCTGCGGAAGCATAGTTCCCGCTCAGCCCAGTCAAAACTGTTCGCTGCTCTGGCACCCCAATGGTGGAACAATCTCCCTCACGACGCCAGGACAGCGGAGTCACTCACCACCTTCCGGAGGCATTTGAAACCCCACCTCTTTAAGGAATACCTGGGATAGGATAAAGTAATCCTTATCCCACTGGCTATAGGGTGAACGCACCAATTGGTGAGTCGCTCTGGATAAGAGCGTCTGCTAAATGACGTAAATGTGCCCTTGAGCAAGGCACCTAACCCTAATTGCTCCTGTAAGTCGCTCTGGATAAGAGCGTCTGCTAAATGACTAAAATGTAATGTAAATGTAAGACAGGGAATTTTTTACTAGGATTAAATGTCCGGAATTGTGGAAAACTGAGTTTAAATGTATTTGGCTAAGGTGTATGTAAACTTCCGACTTCAACTGTATATCACTTGCTTGCCTATCCCACTGTACTGGTACATATCTCCTACTCTCACCCCCCCATTTCCTACCACTCTTCTTTAACAAACCTTCTCCCTTTTTCCCGCCATTTTTCCCCAATTCAAACTCAGTCTTCCTCCCTCTCTCTCTCTCTTAGACCTCCTCTGCCTCTCTTTTTCCCTCCATTCCTCATCATTCATCCAAGTATACGTCTCCTTATGATAATACTGCATTTCTCCTAACCACCATCGGTTTCTTGCCTTCTCAAAGGACTCAATTTTCCCCCTCCTTTCCCTTCCGGCGTCTATTCTATCCTCTGGACTTGTGTCGACATCTTGGCCTGCGTCTTCCATCGCCCCTTCCACGTGCGCATCCGGCCTGAACCTAGGCCTACTGTACCACCACCAGAGCAATTTATACAGGGTGCCAGGGACGCGCTTGCCTTGTATTGGGGCAAAATAAATGTCTTAGTTCAAACTACACAACAAAAAAAACATTTTTATGAGACCCCAAACATGTTGTGCTTCTACCATGCTGCCATGCTATGGTGTTAGATCTTAGATGTCTCTTTATGTAGTGTTGTGGTGTCTCTCTTGTCATGATATGTGTTTTGTCCTATATATATTTTTTAAATCCCAGCCCCCGTCCCGGCTGGAGACGTGCTATAGGCCATCATTGTAAATAAGAATTTGTTCTTAACTGACTTGCCTAATTAAATAAAGGTTCAATAGAATAAAATAATAAAAAAGCAGATTTCTCTGTAGTCAAAGTTTCACCTAGCTATACAGTCAAGAAAGAATGTCACTGTGTATACCCACCACCAGCACTAAAACATGACAAGAACAGAGGTGCAGTAGCCTAATATTAAAATTATATACATTTTATTCCTTTGTAATAAAAGAGTACCATAGCACTGCTAGTCCTCTGGTGAGCTACAGATCAGAATAGAGATGAGATGAAGACCACACACAGTCACATAGCGATTCTCATCCTATAGCACATCTCTTTGTCAGCAGTCACTGAAACAGCCCTGCACCACTACATTTCTACTCTCAGGAAGAAAAACATGGGGTGTAATCATTAGTCCAAAACATTTTGCAACGGAAACCATTTACTCCAAATGGAAAATGTAGCCTAGCGGTTAAGAGCATTGGGCCAATAACTGAAATGTCGCTGGTTCAAATCCCTGACCTGAGTAGGTGAAAAATCTGTTGATGTGCCCTTGAGCAGGGCTGTAAGTCGCTCTGGATAAGAGCGTAGACTAAAATGTTTTGCAATAAAAACTAGTTTCTATTGGAGCAATTCAGGTAGGTCCCTCCCCGTTTGGTTCTGTTTGGTTCCTAATGAATACACCCATGGTCTCTGTGTATGCATGCTGCAGCCATGGCCTTTAGGCTATATACACACTCCAGCAACATTGCAAATAGACAATGTAAAATATATTTTGAAAGCATAAATAAAACCACCAACTCACATTGTCCTGAAGGACAATCAGATACATCTTCTAAGTAGTCTTTGTTTACAAAAATTATCTTTAAAGTGTCAGTATAGTAAATGGCAAAAAGGTATCCTTCTGGCTGGCAGGGAAAGATGCCTGGACAGTGACATCCTTCCTTTGTCTCTTGATACACAGTTCTGCCGGTGATTATATACTCTCCACCTCCACCAGTGAGGAAGGGTCATGCCTCTGTCCCATTTTCCCAGGCTATAGCTGTGAAATCCACCTCTGTAAGGTTGACCGTGTCTCTGTCTGTCAGGTTTACCGTGAACGGTGCCTCCACCCTCTCTATTTGCTCCTCTCCCCCTCCACTGTTGTTCAAGTTGTTCACCCTCCAGGAATTTAGAGGTCGAATGGATTTCTTAAAACGCTGAATGGAGAGAGAGTAAGAGAGATTAATAAAGATATTTTTATACTGAATGGCATGTGACTTTCATAACTGATGTAACCCCTAAATTATTTGCACACTGGCAGCCTTTAACATATCAAGAGTTTAATGTATTTTTAGTGTGGCTTCAGTATTCAAGTCATTTCAATACAGCTTTATTTGTCCCCTTAGGGCAATTCCTATAGCCATGTAAAATGGCCTAGGTAATGACAGACAGGGGGAAAATGGGGGTGGACGGTACTGACGTCTTTCAGTGTCCCAGACTCCTTGCTGATGGCCACGATGGCCCAGATGGGGATCTGCAGACAGCAGGTGGCGCCCATGCACACGCCCAGTGCCTTGCCCCAGCGAGGATACACATAGGCCCCATACTGCAGCGGGGTGTTGTACATCTCAATGAAGATATAGGTCAGAATGAACTGGATGCACAGGGACACAGAAACAGAGGGGCATGTGAAACAAGGCCAACAGAAATAAAAACATAAACACTAAGAAAGTTTAACAGCAACCATGGAGACAATCATCGAATCAAAGCAGTGATCAAAAGCACACAGTAGCTTTGGAGATATAGACCAACACCCAGACAGACGCAGCAGAGTGCAGCTGAGCATGCACAGATTCTTAAACAGACGTCTGTATGACAATCCAGGCAGAGCCTCTATGGTATGGTCCATTACTCTTTCTGGCTCAGGACACTTGGTTAGTTCACTCATTTATGTTTCTATGCAACAGCTACTACATACTTTTTAAATAAATACACATATCAGACATACTGTGCATACATGAGGGGTGATTGAAAAGTAACCCATAGAGAACACAGCCGGGGTGAAAAGGGATAGAATGTCAGTCTCTTTAAATTATTCACCACTGTGAGGGTGCAACAAAGGGTGGATTTTAGACAGAGAGGGATGCTTTTTCAGAGACATATTGTAAAGATAGAGGGTCTGACTCACCAGTAGGAGAAATGGGGTGCAGAATACCCAGCATGCTTTGAAGTAGAGCAGCACTTTGCTGCACCAGGGAGGACAGAGACAGATCATGTCAATGATGTCCTGGCAAAACTGGTTCACTCCTGTGAATGTTACAGAATGCAGACACACACACACACACACACACACAATTATTTGTCAAAGTATCTGAAGACACTATTGACATAGACATCCAGTAAGTGTGTGGCATGTCTGAATAGCGGTTAGTATGTGTGATTAGTATGTGGAATGTAGCATGCAGAGTATGGAGCTAGAGTTGCATGGTGCTGTGTACCATAGAAGAAGGAGATGCCAATGCACATGAAGAGGGTGATGATAATGAGGCCGAAGCTAGTGGCGAAGGAGTCGATGAGGGTGAACCAGTAAATCCCTCCCTATGGAGAGACAAACATCAGTGCAAACAAACACACACACACACACACACACACACACTTCAATACAAACACACACACACACTCACATCAGTGATCAACAGCAGTCCCATTAGATAGAAACCGAAACACAGCAGTCCCAGGAACAGAGACTTCTGCTTCATGTTAGCTCTGAGCTGTGGGAACTCATCCAGCACGGCCGTGGTGATGCCCTCCATGTTACCAAACTACAGAAAGAAAACAGGGCCAGAGAGACAGGGAGCGGGATGTTAGATGTATGTGTTTGGTTAGTTCAAAGAGCTGGGGTTCAATACAGAACAAGGCTGTGGTATACCAGAGTGTCGACCCCCAGCATGAAAAGCATAAGGAAGAAGAGGATGGACCAGAAGACCGAGCCTGGCAGTAGAGCAAGGGCTTCTGGGTACGCCACAAACGCCAAACCGGGACCTGGAGCAAGAACACTAATGAGCTTATTTTTGCCATAAAATACATTTTTAGTGCCATGATTTTAACTGGATGTATTGTGATTACCATGTCATAACCGTAACATAAATGTATTGTTAATACAAGAGGAGTGATTGGCTCATCGAGAGCTACCTGTATCTGCCACCTCTCCAACAGGCACTCCCTTCCTCCAGGCCATGTGACCCAGGATTGAGAATATGGCGAAGCCCGCAAAGAAGCTGGTGCTGCAGTTCCCTATGGTGATGACCAGGCAGTCCCTGAAAGCAACACAATGTTAGATAGACTCCATTTCCCAGCATGCCTGTAGCCTCAGAGAGAACAGTAGAAGAGTAGAGTACAACTGACCTGATGACATTGTTGTCAAACTTATTGTAGGAGGCCATGGAGAGCAGCCCCCCAACACCAATCCCCAACGAGTAGAAGACCTGTGAGGCAGCATCGTTCCACACCTACATGGTGAACGGTGACAGTTAAGACATGCTCTTCACTTTGTTGGCAAGTACCAAGGGCCTTGACACTCATCATTACAGGTAGACACATACACACAAAAACAAACAAACTTTACTTTACTCTAGAGATTATACCAGCCTGTCTCCACTAGGGGGTGTAGTTTACCTGTGCACTGGCTAGCCTGCCCCAGTCAGGGGTGAGGTAGAAGGCCACACCCTGAAGTGACCCCTCCAGTGTAGCACCCCTGATGATCAAAACGATCAGCACGAAGTACGGGAACGTTGCAGTCACATAAACCACCTACAGAGTAACAGCTCTTAAGTACACAGCAACACCAAGAGCAAGGATGTTTGTTTTGAGGGCATGTTTCCATAACATGAGTATGTCTGTGTTTAAAGGTGTGTATTCTGATGACGTGTGTGTTATTTCACCTTGCCAGAGCTGCGGATGCCCTTGAGCATGCAGAAGAAGATGATGATCCAGGCAGCCAGGAGGCAGAGGGCCAGGGGCCACCTGACAGGACCAGGGTCATGGAGGCCCTTACTGTTCACCACACCCAGAACACGCTCACTTGAACACAACACACCGAGCAAACACTGAGCAAACACACATTCACACAGAGTATTCACAACTCTAGCCAAAACTAGTTGGATAGACCCAGCAAACAGAGACATTTTAAACAGGAGATAGATGTTACATCATATACTGAAGTCAGTCAGTTTACATTATTTTGTCAGCTTATCTCCTTAAGGACATGAACATATACAGCATAGTGTACATTATGTACATTGTACACATAGCACAGACTTTTTGAAGAAGAATATTTCAGGCATTTCATGGTCGTCAATATTTCAATACAGTTGAGGGCCAGCATGCCGCTAATCCCCCCACAATAAGACAATCCTAATCTGAATTCTATCATGCAGAGGCCATTCGATCATTTTTAGTGACAAACAGTGGTGGAAGAGCCCTTACTTCCAGAAGACCTCTGAGGGGCTGAGGGCTCTGCCAGAGGAACTGTTCACAGTGGTGGCGTTCCCACAGAGGTAAGCATTGGCTGGGGCATCACAGGACCAGGGCAGGGGGCTCTGGAAAGAGCTGCCCAGGTAGTAGAAGGTCCAGGCTATAATCACGTTGTAGTAGAGGCACACCAGCGTAGACACACAAAGCATCCCAATGCCAATGCCTATAGAGAGACACACAGGCATATTGGTGTGTGCAGTCCAGATGAGGGAGCTTTTGTTTTTAGAGAACATAAGGTTGAGACTAATCAGAGCATTGGTGGACAATTATGGAGTGTTTGGAGGACAATGGGGGTCCTGGGGGTTTACCTTTGAGGAGGGGGCAGCACTTCCACACTGTGATTGGTCCAGCAGCTCCATACTGGCCTAGACTGAGCTCCATGAGGAAGAGGGGGACACCGGTGAAGAAGAGCATGATGAAGTAGGGGATGAGGAACACACCTGGGGACAGAGGAGGTCACAGGTCAAACAGGAAACAGGGGATAATACAAGAGGCGACATCCCTCATTCATTTGATTGTTATAACACTGAGCTGCTACACGGATACATGGCGTGTAAGGATATGTTCTACAAACAACACTATGGCTTTATAATCACTTACTACATCTGGAAAGCTGCCAGCCAGCACAGGGTTTTTCCATCCCTCAACTATTGAAGTCTCAGCATGTGCTAGCTTCAGATGGGGAGCTGAAGTTTGTGTACTATAGTTTTCAATGAACCGTTCAGTAGACTGTATTAAGGTGTGTTTTTCTGTGCACTTCAGGTCAGGGTCTGTTTCTGCAAATGACATTGGCTCTCCCTTATAGGATTAGTTACAGTGCCTGTGTGTCGGCTTTATAGCGCCACTGGCGGCCTGTGATTGTGTGGCTTTGGTTTCAGCTCTCAGATTAAACTCTGCAGCACAACACACAGAGGTGAGAGGACAGTGCAGGCCTGAAGGCCATGGTAACATAATATGCATCAATTTCAATACAATAATACAGCTTCATACATGTAAGCTTCATTCATACTTAGAGTTTGAGGGGCAGTGTAAAGTGTTTGAGGGCTAAAAGCCAGCATGGCTGAGGGTTACTCACCTCCTCCATTGCGGTAGCAGAGGTAGGGAAACCTCCACACGTTCCCCAGTCCCACACAGTAGCCGATACAGGAGAGCAGAAACTCATACTTCCCACCCCACTGCTCTCTTGGGAGAATATGTGGGTCTGGTGGGGATGCAGGGGACGGGGGGCGGGACTCAAACTGTGGCTGGGATGAGGGATTGGTGACATCATGAGTTAAATTAAACCCATTCAGCTGTGCTGGACTCTAGAACAGATAGAACACATTCAAAACTGTCAGACAGATCCTCCATCAGAAGAACCTAGAACGATGTCATGCCTTAATGCTGAAAGTTGGATTCCATGTCACAAGTAAAGTACTCCCTCTCTAGTTTAACTTGTATGAGACACTGGGACTGCACATTGTTTAGGGTGAACACAGTCAGTGACAATGGTAGGCATAGCTATGCAGTCCAGATTTACATATATGGGTGTGGTTCACACATCAGGAAATGTGACATTGTTATGCAGTCTTTGTAAACCATTGTGTGTGCCTATAGAGCTGTGCCACTGTTGTGTCATCTAGCTCAATTGATGCAAGCACTCATTTTCTCCTTCCTCCCCTGGAAGGCAAACAATTTAACCTCACAACAAAATAGGAACTATTGCCTCTATTTGTGTGTGTGTGTGTGTGTGTGTGTGTGTGTGTGTGTGTGTGTGTGTGTGTGTGTGTGTGTGTGTGTGTGTGTGTGTGTGTGTGTGTGTGTGTGTGTGTGTGATCAGTGGACCAGTAGGCTAAACAGACAGCCAAGAGATTAACTATGGACACCAAGAGGACGCAGGTCAGGTGAAAATGGCAGTTCAGTTTTGAGAACTGCCATTCATTTGATTTAGGCCACTACCATCTGCCTGCCTCATCATCATCATCATCATGACACATTGTAAGTCATAAAAGGGGTTTAAAGAGTAGCCTACAGGTAGTTGTTATACAATGGGTTACAATAGGTTATGCAAAACAAACAATCAAATGAGAGCAATGCGATGGACTTGATGTTAAGTCTGTATCAACTGAAATGTTGATAGTCATAAAACTTTGATTATGTCTTTGAAATAAATATTGAGAGGTTTATACCCAAGGTAGTTTTATATTGGATATTTGGTTCTCTCTCATCAATAGCTATTGAACCAAGCATGCCATGACTATGAAGATGGTATATTCTGAATCAGGGGAGGATGGACAAAAACCCACGGCTTAAAAAAATATATTTAATAGCTCTTACACAAAGCGTACCATGATTATGAAAATTATATATTCTGAATCGGGGGAGGATGGACAAAAATCCATGGCTTTTGTTTTTTGGAAATGTAGATTTTGTTTTTTTCTGACAAATCCGGTGTTTCTATGTCAAACAGTTTTGTTATATTTCAGTGATGTATATAAAGAGTAATATTGGGATGCAAACTCAAAATTGAATAAATGTCAACTCTTTTTTAAGACCATTACCATGTGTGTGAGGTGTATACTTTTGTTTCAAAGTAGATTTGTTTAAGACTACCAAGAATCACTGATTTAGCCCACTGCAGTAAAAGGTTAAATAGCAGGTTGTTGGGGTGTGAGGAAGATGGTGCAAAAAAAAAAAAAGTCAAAAAAAAAAAGCTGTAGATTTTTGTAGATCCTCCCCCTGAATCCGAATATATCATTTTCATGGTCATGGAATGTATTGTGTAAGAGCTATTAAAGATGAAAAGCTCCCCCCACACACAAAAATAAAATATAAATTTCAACAACAAAAAGAGCTATGGATTTTTCTCCATCCACCCCTGATTCAGAATATGCCATCTTCATAGTTATGGCATGCTTGGTTCAATAGCTATGGAGGAGATAAAACCGAATATCCACCAAATATCCAATACAAAACTCATTTTACAGAGGTGACAATGATGACCTATAGGCTAGTAGGCTGTTGCACTTTCCACTACATCGGATGTCAGAGGAATGAGGACAGACGGGTTAGGTTACTTTATAGAAATACAAATACAAATAATGATGGTTTCATTCGTTTTCCATAAATTCCAAAACAATCCAATATTCACAAAGAGGTGAAATTAGACCTTTTAACGACGTTTAAAAAGTTCCTATAAACTAACAACAGGTTGTTTCCTTGCTTACCCCTTGTTGTTGTGGTGATTTTTTCTCTGTAATGTTCCCAGGTGCCGTTTTTGGCTCCTCGCTCGGCATTTTCCCAGGGAGAGATTCACTTGCTTTCTTAGGATGTTCGATACATTGTTCAGATTAAAGTTAATGGAAATCTATTCGTGCTTTGACAGAAATGTCCGTCAGTGATTATTGAAATCGGCACGTTTGGTAATGACCGGGAAATTACAGTAGAGCGCAGGTGCAGTCACTGAGGGGATTCGATTAATTTGGCCCGGGCGTGTTTTGTACCGGGCTGCCTCCCGGCCGTGATTCAGTTGCCCGTTCAAAGCCCACAGCGTAGACGGCTCAAAACAAAAGTGACATAATTAAGCACGTGGAGTAACGAGTAGGATTCTGTGTTTTCACATGCAAAAGTGATTGCTTTTGATAAAAACGTTTTAAAATTAGTTTGAGAATTCAAACACATATTTTATGGAAAAGAGATGTGTTTCTGGATGATGCACCATGCTGCCTTGTTGACAACATGATGGAGCTGCGCAGATTACTGTTCGATTTGAGAAGGGCGCTCCTGTCTCACGGCTTTTGCCCGGCCACGTCATGGGCCATAGACTGGTGACCCGCAGCTCAGCATAATCGAATCCGCCCATTGAACGAAGGGGTAAAAACACGCCCTCTTTTTACAAACTCACCTTTACTGTTGGTAAACCACGCCCTTTCTACCACTGCACCCCTTCACATAATTTTTAGCCTACTAATAACTGTATGTATCTATCTATCTATCTGTCTGTCTGTCTGTCAGTCTGTCTGTCTCAATCTAGTTTCATCAGGTTATTGAGCAGCTACAGCATCTCTAACCTAGTCAAAACCTGCCTCTTCAAAGCCTGTCTTTTTTCTATTCTGAGACAGCATTGCTCAGCGCATCAATAGAGGAAACCAGCTGCAACAGCAGGAAATTGCAGCAGTTGCTATTTCTATGAAAAGAGAAACCACATATTAAGCTCCCCTGTTTTGTTGCACGGCCAAGAAGACGAAATTGTGTATGTAACATGAAATACGATACTAGGCTACATGGTGATCTATAAAATAAATTCAACAGCAGACCATATGAACAAAGTGGCTAAAAGAGGAAAAAATAGGTAATGCCTTCATCTTGGCTTGCAATGGTCCATGGTCGTAACTTCAAATCAAATCATTGCTTTATTTATAGAGCACATTTCAGACATGGAATGCAACGCAATGTGCTTTACAGGAGAAAAAAAAGATGAAAAAACAATGAAAATAAAAGCTGAAATATTTACTACAAAACAAACATAAGATAAAAAAACAAAAGAATGACACAAACTGAACAACTAAAAAGCACCCAAAGGAAAAGCAAAGCCAAAAATATGTGTTTTAAGATCTCTTTTAAGTATGTCCAGTTTCGGCCCCCTTCAGGTTCTCTGGCAGGCTATTCCAGAGGCTGGGGGCATAATAACTCATGGCTGCCTCTCCATGCCTCTTGGTCCTAGGCTTTGGGATAGTTAAAAGGCCAGTGCCAGAGGACCTGAGGGACCTACTGGGTACATAACTTAAAAGCATGTCTGACATGTATTGGGGTACACAATCATGGATTGATTTAAAAACCAATAGAAGAATCTTAAAATTAATTCTAAAACTCACAGGCAGCAAGTGCAGAGACCTTAAAACCGGTGTAATGTGTGCTCTTCGTCTGGTCTTGGTCAGTACCCGTGCTGCAGCATTCTGTATGTTTTGCAGTTGACCAATGGCTTTCTTGGGTAGACCAGACAGGAGAGCATTACAGTAGTCAAACCTGCTTGTAATAAAAACATGGATGAGTTTCTCTGTATCAGCCTGAGAGAGAAATGGCCTCACCTTGGCAATGTTCCTCAGGTGGTAAAAAGCATTTTTGGTCACATTCCTAATGTGTGATTCAAAATTTAGTTCAGAATCTAAAATTACCACTAGGCTTTTTATCTGGTGTTTTATCTTTATTGCCCGTTAATTAAAATGTGCAGCTAGATTCTCTCTCCGTGCTTTGGCTCCAACAATAAGTACCTCAGTCTTGTCTTGATTTAGCTGGAGGAAGTTGTGAGCCATCCAAATATTTAAATCACTAATACAGTCTAATAATTTATCCATGGAGCTAAAATCCTCTGGTGACACAGAAATGTAAAGTTGTGTATCGTCCGTGTAGCAGTGAAAATCAATGCTGTGCTTTCTGATAATGCTGCCAATTGGTAACATATACAAACTGAACATACAGTATATAAACTGAACTTGAAACCTTTGCCATCACATAGGCTACTGTTCTGTCTGAACCAGCATGTACAGTGAGGGAAAAAAGTATTTGATCCCCTGCTGACTTTGTACGTTTGCCCACTGACAAAGAAATGATCAGTCTATAATTTTAATGGTAGGTTTATTTGAACAGTGAGAGACAGAATAACAACAAAAAAATCCAGAAAACGCATGTAAAAAATGTTATAAATTGATTTGCATTTTAATGAGGGAAACAAGTATTTGACCCCCTCTCAATCAGAAAGATTTCTGGCACCCAGGTGTCTTTTATATAGGTAACGAGCTGAGATTAGGAGCACACTCTTAAAGGGAGTGCTCCTAATCTCAGTTTGTTACCTGTATAAAAGACACCTGTCTTTTGCAGAGGGGTCAAATACTTATTTCCCTCATTAAAATGCAAATCAATTTATAACATTTTTGACATGCATTTTTCTGGATTTTGTTGTTGTTATTCTGTCTCTCACTGTTCAAATAAACCTACCATTAAAATTATAGACTGATCATGTCTTTGTCAGTGGGCAAACATACAAAATCAGCAGGGGATCAAATACTTTTTTCCCTCACTGTACACATCAAACTGTTTTCAATGATATCATCACTATCATCAAAAAGATGGCGCCACCTGGAAAACCCTTGTTACAGAAACCTTCACAGGAAAATCCCAGTCACTTCACACCAAGGTAACAGAGAGAGAGACATTGACAGAGATGCAGCCTTTATGACACCTGGGGCCAAACCCACCAGCTACCAGTTTGTAACCTCTGTTGGGGACAGCCAGCAGAGAGGAAGAAGAAAAGGCCAAGAACGACAGCAGCAAACTTTTGAGCCTGAGTTCATGACCAGACAGGGCTCACCTAGTCCAAATAGCCCAGGGCCCGTATCCACAAAGCGTCTCAGATTATGAGTGCTGACCTTGCATCAGTTTGGACTTTTGGATCATAATGAATAAGATTATATGGACAGATCCTAGATCAACACTCCTACTCTGAGACGTTTTGTGGATACGGGCCCAGGACAGGAAGCGATAAGGCGCCATTGCACGACTCCAACACCATCATTAAGTTTGCCGACGACACAACAGTGGTAGGCCTGATCACCGACAACGATGAGACAGCCTATAGGGAGGAGGTCAGAGACCTGGTCGTGTGGTGCCAGGATAACAACCGCTCCCTCAACGTGACCAAGACAAAGGAGATGATTGTGGACTACAGGAAAAAAAAGAGGACTGAGCACGCCCTCATTCTCATCGACGGGGCTGTAGTGGAACAGGTTGAGAGCTTCAAGTTCCTTGGTGTCCACATCACCAACAAACTATCATGGTCCTAACACACCAAGACAGTCTTGAAAAGGGCACGACAAAGCCTATTCCCCCTCAGGAGACTGAAAAGATTCGGTATGTGTCCTCAGATCGTCAAAAAATTCTACAGCTGCACCATCGAGAGCATCCTGACTGGTTGCATCACCGCCTGGTATGGCAACTGCTTGGCCTCCGACCGCAAGGCACTACAGAGGGTAGTGCGTATGGCCCAGTACATCACTGGGGCCAAGCTTCCTGCCATCCAGGACCTCTATACCAGGCGGTGTCAGAGGAAGGCCCTCAAAATTGTCAAAGACTCCAGCCACCCTAGTCATAGACAGTTCTCTCTGCTACCGCACGGCAAGCGGTACCGGAGTGCCAAGTCTAGGTCCAAAAGACTTCTCAACAGCTTCTACCCCCAAGCCATAAGACTCCTGAACAGCTAATCATGGCTACCCAGACTATTTGCACTGCCCCCCCACCTCATCTTTTTACGCTGCTGCTACTCTGTTAATTATTTATGCATAGTCACTTTAACTCTACCCACATGTACATATTACTTCAACTACCTCAACTAGCCGGTGCACCCGCACATTGACTCTGCACCGGTACCCCCCTGTATATATAGCCTCCCTACTGTTATTTTATTTTACTTCTGCTCTTTTTTTCTCAACACTTTTTTGTTGTTGTTTTATTTTACTTTTTTATTAAAAATAAATGCACTGTTGGTTAAGGGCTGTAAGTAAGCATTTCACTGTAATGTCTGCACCTGTTGTATTCGGCGCATGTGGCCAATACATTTTTATTTTATTTTATTTTATTTGTGGAGGATGTGCTTATGATGGTTATATTATTATTTATATATTATATTTGACCAACCGCCTTGATTCGGTCTTATGTAGCAAAATGTGAATTATATATATATTTTTTTACAATGGATAAAAGCAGAGACACAGAGCTACAAAATGGTATATCAGACACTGCATTTGAGGAACAATGGGAAAGTAATTCTGCTTTGAAAGTTGATAAACTTGTAACCCCACTTTTGAGAAAATGGCCCTTGAATGTTTAGGTACACCCACTGGAGAGCTCTTCTTTGTCTACACTCATTCAGCATTGTTCACACCCTCTTAAGCCAGCCCCACCCATCTCTTTCAGGATTCACATTTGAGGTCATGTGCTAAACAATGTGTAGTAGCAATGAAAATAATATTCACCTGAAGTGCTGGTACTGCTTGATCTGTGGCAGCAGCCTGAAGTACAGGTGTTGTTGCCAGCCATAGCTTTCCACCAGCACTGTACCATCCTCCAGTCCAACCAGCTGTGGGATATTCAACCCTGTCACAGTGCTGTCCTTCACAACAGCAATCTAGGACAAAGTGTTCACTCTGGTCTTTCTGAAGCACTGCTTGATGAGGCTGAAGCTCAGGGGCAAACTTGGTGTGGTCTGTGATCAGGAAGTGAAGGTCCAGAATGTGGTGGAGCTTGTGCATGGTCCGCCAGGCACAATCTTGTTCTGGCCACTGCAGTTGTCACAATTCAGGTCCACACGTGTTTCCCCGACTGCGTAGTTGGTGAAGAAATGGTACATGTAGTTGATGACTGCCCTGCTGCCTTTGCTGGATGATATGCCTTCATCAATCAAGTAG